GGAAGGTCGGGAGGGTAGGGAGAAGCTGAGGGAGGGGCGTGAGAAAAGGAAGGCAGAGCCTCCAGTGGTGGTGGATCAGACGTTCCTTGCATTCGACGACGCCTCTCATGGGCTGGCTGAGGCTCTGGCTGAGATGGAAGCTGAAGTGAGCTTTGCTAACTGGCTCATGCCTGAGCCAGGGGCGGGTGAGAGGGGGGAGGGACGCGGGGGGGTGAGAGGTGTGGGGGTGAAAGATGGGGGGGTGACAGGTGGGGGTTTGGAGGAGAAGGATATGGAAGAGAGGAAGGTGAGAGAGAGTGGGATGCAGGATGTGGATATGAAGGAAGGTGCTGGAGGTGAGGATGAGGATGAGGAGGGGGAGGGGGAAGAGGGGGGGAAGGGTGAGAGAGTGGTGTGGGCGAGCCCGAGGTACCTTCCAGAGTTTGACGTCTGTATACTGCCCTTCATCCCGCCCTTCTGATGCCACAAGTACACGGTACACCACCCTTGATTTCGCCCTCACTTGTGTACTTGCCATTCATCCCGCAATTCATCCTGCCGGGCCTTCATCCCATCCTTCCGATGTCACACGCGCGTGACGCATTCATCAAGCCCGCCCCTCACGCACTAGTGAAAGCCTTGCGGTCTTCAAGTTTCTAAGCGTGCAGCCGTGGCTAGGGTTTTGCTAGAGGGGACAGGTCACTCACACGGGTCGCGTCGCATGGGTCACAAGAGGGTTATCGTATGTCTCGTGAGGGCCATTCATTGCCTGAATGTGTAGTTCAGTGGTAGGGGGGAGCTGCCTTGTATTGCATGTTGCTGGCTTGTTGTGGACGGGCTAAGCATGCCGATTGATCTCTCTAATGCATCAGTTTTGCAGCTCCTGCGTGCTTGTTGGAATAACATACGATCGAAGACCATGCTTTCATTCAGGTGACTTAGTGCTCAGACGCAAAACAAGGACCAAGTGACTACAAGCACACTGAAAGATGTGGCGTATGAATGTATATGGGTAATATTGCAAGAAGTGCAGCAAACTCGTTATAGCCGGATCGGATATTTGAAAATGTTCTTCTGCCAAAACACATGCTCGCCTGCTGTTTCGCATCTCGCCATTTGCAGGGCGGTGGATTGTCATCGTGAATCTCCCTCCCTCGCGGCACCCTACCATCCCCATCCTTGTCTGATCAGCTTCGCATCGCAACAGCATTTCTGATTTCGGCGGCTTATTCGCCTCCGCCTAGACACGGCGGTGTATCCGCCTGCCTCCACAAGCCTGCTTTCAGTCTCGCTTCAACTGCAACTACAAGCTGTTCCGAAAAGCGAAACTTTTTCCTACTTTTAGAGTGGGGGTTGTTCGAAACGGCGACAAGGTTTTAAGACCATCGAAGTTGCGTTAATCAGGTTACAAGGCCTGTTTACTTCGTTACAACGCACGACATATTCTGAGGACTTTCGGAAAGCAGATTTTACTTTGATTGAGGGGCATTGTGAGCTGAAGAGGGTTCATGGCGGGTGGGAAACGACGATATGAGGAAGAGGAGGAGGAAGAAGCGGCTCCGTTCAGCCGGCGGCACGCTTCTGTAGGTTTTCCGACTGAATGTTTCGCTATCCGAATGATTGCGTTCCGCATAAGTGTCCCTGAATGCTTCCCGTTAGGTCGAACTGAGCGATTGTTCTGAATGCGTTCCTGTAATGCGTTACAAGGGGGTCTCTTGCCTCGGGTGGAGAGGAGTTACGCACTATAAAAGGCCTCTTTCCGATACTCGTCTCCACACCCCCATCCCCCACCACATTGAATCATCATTGCAGCGTCCCTCGTCCCCCTCCTCACCCTCGTTCATCCTCCTCATCCTCCTCATCCTCCTCATCCTCCTCCCCACCCCCCTCGTCACTCCTCGTCCCACCTCCAACTTACCTTTTGATTGGTATCTTTTGCAGAACCACCAGCAGAAGAGAGGAGCAGCAGCAGACACACCACCAGCAACCGGATTCAACGGCTTCCCATCCTTCACCACCGCTCCGTTCCCTGCTGCAGCCAACAATGCAGCATCGGCATCAGCATCAGATTCAGCAGCAGCTTTTCCCGACCAGGCCCGAGCACAGGAGTGTCTGAAGACTGTCCGCGCACTCAACATGCAGTTCGCCAGGTTGGTAACATAAATTTGCCAGGTTGGTAACATAAATTCGCCAGGATGGTTACATAATTTCGCCAATCTTCCAGGGGATGGATGAGTATAGCGTGACCAGGCCCGACATTGGCCGGTTGGTAACACGAATAAGCCATTGCAGCAGCTTCACTGCTGACGTTCGTATACCTCCTCGTGTTGCACTGCTCATTCCTTTGGTGTGAGTGTGTTCGAGTGTGCATGCATGCGTGCATGTATACATGCATGGACGCTTGTGTTTGTGCATGTGTGCATGTGCATGTGCATGAGTACGCATTATGTGTGTGTATACACGTGCATGTGCATTTGCGTTCATGTATGCATGTGTGTGTGTGCACATGCAGTTGGGTGCAGCAGCAGCAGAAGGAGCACGCTGACGAGCTGTGGACGGATGGCGTGCATGATTACATTGACCATGCAACCACCCTCATGGTAACACAAGCAATGTCTTGGTATGTTTGCACAAGCTGTCATGATAAGAAACAAGTCATTCTAGCCTACCCTGCCCTCCTGTTCCTCATCTATCCCCTACAAACACAACCCCCATACACCCATTGATTCTTTTGGCGTCTCAAAAGCATCCTCACACACACACACACACACACACACACACACACACACACACACACACACACACCCTCGTAAAAACATCCACTTTCTCCCGCCCACCCGTTGCCTCCCCCAGGCCACCTATAAGGACGTCGTAGACTGGATCAAATCCAAATCCGCCTCTCCACCGCCCTCCACCGCTCCAACTGCACCTGCAGCCGCATTCAACGCCCCTGCATTCACAACCACCGCCCCGGCCTTCACCACATCCCCATTCGCTTTCTCCCCAGCAACAACAGCAGCAGCTACCACCACCACTGCCAACACCACCGCCAACACCATTACTGGCACCTCCCCTGGCACTACCCCCACTGGCACTACCACTGGCAGTACCAGCACCACCACCACTTCTCCCTCAATCCCCATGTTCGGGCCTGTAGGAGTCAACATGTGGTCGCCTCGACCCGGCGCCCCTCCCCCCTTCCCTCCCCCTAGCAGCTTCCTTTCCCCGTCCTCCTCCAACCCTGCTGCTGCTGTCGGCACTACCAGTTTCGGCCTTGCCTCCTCTTCCTCCTCTCTTGCCACTGGCACTGTCAGCTTTGGACTCACCTCATCCCCTGCTGCTGCTGCTGCTGCTGCTTCTTCACCTGCTGCTGCCACTGCTGCTGCTTCATCTTCCCCTGGCGCCGGCTCTTCTCCTCCTGCTGCTACAGCCGCTACAGTTGCCAAGGGTTCTACAGCCGCTACAGCTGCAGCAGCCCCTGCGCCAGTGTCCTTCTCTGCGCCCGTCTCAGCGTCGGCCAACCCCTTCGTCTTCTCACCTGCACCATCTGCGGCACCCGCCTTTGGCTTCCCTGCAGCAGCACCGCTCGCACCCATTGCTGTCGGTGGCGCAGCAAAAGGTGAGCGTTCGCATGTTGAGAGCAGGGACCTGCAAGTATTTCTTTTAGATTTTCAAAAAACATTCGCATGTTGAGAGCAGGGACCTGCAAGTATTTCTTTTAGATTTTCAAAAAACATTCGCATGTTGAGAGCAGGGACCTGCAAGTATTTCTTTTAGATTTTCAAAAAGCATTCGCATGTTGAGAACAGGGACCTGCAAGTATTTCTTTTAGATTTTCAGAAAACATTCGCATGTTGAGAGCAGGGACCTGCGAGTTTATTCGTGAAGAGCTAAGAAGTTCTGAGGGACAACGGCTGCCCTTCCTTTACCCATCCGATTTCTAACCCAGTTCCTCTCTCCCTCGTCCCCCCTTCTTTTTGCGTCTGTCAGAGGAAGAGGAGGAGGAGGAAGAGCTGGGACCTGCAAGTCCGTTCGTGAAGAGCTGAGAAGTTCTGAGGGACAACTGCTGCCCTTTCCTTCTGTAGCAACCCATCCCGATCCGACCCAGTTCCTTTCTCCCTTCCCCTTTTCCCTCCTTTGCGTCTATGAGAGGAAGAGGAGGAGGAGGAAGATCAGGGGCCAGCGAGTCCATCAGTGAAGCGAACGGAGTGACAGGTGCTACTCCTCCCGTCGTTAACAACACATTCCAACCCAGTTCTTCTCTTCCTCCCCCGCCCGTCCCTTTGCGACAATGAGAGGAAGAGGAGGAGAAGGAAGAACAGGTGCTAGTGAGTCCATCAGTGAAGCGAACGGAGTGACAGGTGCTACTCCTCCCGTCGTTAACAACACATTCCAACCCAGTTCTTCTCTTCCTCCCCCGCCCGTCCCTTTGCGACAATGAGAGGAAGGGGAGGAGAAGGAAGAACAGGTGCTAGTGAGTCCATCAGTGAAGCGAACGGAGTGACAGGTGCTACTCCTCCCGTCGTTAACAACACATTCCAACCCAGTTCTTCTCTTCCTCCCCCGCCCGTCCCTTTGCGACAATGAGAGGAAGAGTAGGAGAAGGAAGAACAGGTGCTAGTGAGTCCATCAGTGAAGCGAACGGAGTGACAGGTGCTACTCCTCCCGTCGTTAACAACACATTCCAACCCAGTTCTTCTCTTCCTCCCCCGCCCGTCCCTTTGCGACAATGAGAGGAAGAGGAGGAGAAGGAAGAACAGGTGCTAGTGAGTCCATCAGTGAAGCGAACGGAGTGACAGGTGCTACTCCTCCCGTCGTTAACAACACATTCCAACCCAGTTCTTCTCTTCCTCCCCCGCCCGTCCCTTTGCGACAATGAGAGGAAGAGGAGGAGAAGGAAGAACAGGTGCTAGTGAGTCCATCAGTGAAGCGAACGGAGTGACAGGTGCTACTCCTCCCGTCGTTAACAACACATTCCAACCCAGTTCTTCTCTTCCTCCCCCGCCCGTCCCTTTGCGACAATGAGAGGAAGAGGAGGAGAAGGAAGAACAGGTGCTAGTGAGTCCATCAGTGAAGCGAACGGAGGAGTGAGAGGTGCTGCCTTTAACCCTCAATAACCCGAACCTAACCCAACACAACCCCTCTCTCCTTGTCGCCTTTCTTCTTGTCTGCCAGAGGAAGAGGAGGAGGAGGAAGATCAGGGGCCAGCGAGTCCATCAGTGAAGCGAGCGGAGGAGAGTGGGGTGGATATAGTGCATGAGGCCCGCGCCAAGATCTACGTGCAGGTAGGATGGAAGCAGTTGTGGTCCGGAAAGAGGTCGTATGGGAGAGAGTGGCAGAGAGCGGAGGAGCGAGAAGGAGAGTGCAGGAGAGCGGGGTGGACATAGTGCATGAGGCACGGGCTAAGATGTACGTGCAGGTGGGATGGAATGGAAGTTGTGGTTGAGAAAGAGAGTGTATGGGAGAGAGCGGAGCGGAGGAGACTGGGGTGGATATTGTGCATGAGGCGCGCGCCTTGATATACGTGCAGGATGATGAGCCTTATCTCCCTTTTGCATTCCTCGCTTTCTTCATCCATATCTCCCTTTTTGCTGTGTTCCCTGAGTGAGCACAGAAGGCCAAGGGCGAGGAGGGCCCAGCATGGAAGGACAAGGGCAGCGGTACGGTGATTGTGAAGCTGCACAAGGGAGGGGCGTCCCTGCGTGCCTCAGTGCTGTTCCGCAACGATGTGAGTGGGATTCGCTGGGTGTGCTGGGATTGCTTGGTCAGTTGTTATTAGTTTGGTATGGTATGGGATGGGAGGCGAGGCAAGTCTACGTGACATATGCGGGTGCGCAAAGTAGCAGCAGGATATCAATCATACCGCGCCGTTTTGTTCTCTTTGTCTCCCTCGTCCTCCTCCCTCCAATGCCCGCGGGCAGGTGGGCAAGGTGATGCTGAACGCGCCACCGAACAAGGGCAAAACGATCATGTGCCTCTCACCCCCTCTCTACCTCGCTCCCCCTCCTCCTCCCTTTCCATGGTTGGCATGCACATGTCCCCTTGGCCATGGTGGGCAAGGTGATGCACATGTCCCCTTGGCCATGGTGGGCAAGGTGATGCACATGTCCCCTTGGCCATGGTGGGCAAGGTGATGCACATGTCCCCTTGGCCATGGTGGGCAAGGTGATGCTGAACGCACCTCTCTACAAGGGCATCACCATCATACCCTCTCTCTCTCCCTCCCTTGTAGCCTCTCTAACTCCCCTCCCCATCATTGCTCGTAACATCCTCCCACGGGCAGGTGGGCAAGGTGATGCTGAACGCACCACTGTACAAGGGCATCACGATCATGCTCAAGAAGAACAACATCACTGCCGTGCTGCAGTCATGTGTACGTGCTGCACTCATGCATGTGCCCTCCAATCACGTACTATTCTGCTTTGATTATTGTCAATTCTGCTCAAGAAAAACAACATCACTGCCGTCCTGCAGTCATGTGTATGTCATGCACTCGTGTGTCTGTTCCATTACCCCTCTATTAATCGATACCACATGCATTAACGGAACACACTACCTCGTGTGCACCCTTCACGTGTGCATGCATGAAACGCTGCCACGTCATACTGCTCTTGCTTCTTGTATGCGTCGCATGGCTTGTGTTCACTGGGCGCGGCTGCAGCAAGATGACACTGCTTCTGCCGACACCACAGTGACTTTTGTACTCGTTGAAACGCCATGCAGACATGCTTATTGTATCCGCTGTCTGGCGTGTGTTCACTCTGGGCTTGGTTGTTCACTCCTGGGCTTGGTTGCAGCAAGATGACACTGCTCCGGCCGGCGCCACGCTTGACAAATCCCCAAGGCCTGTGACCTTCAAGCTTGCGTCGGTGAAGGCTGCTGAAGACTTGCAAGCTGGATTCAAGGAAGCCTGCAACAAGTTGTGATTCTGTTTCCACGTAAGGAACACATTTCGTAGAGGCGATGCTATCGCCACTAGGTTTAGGGGTGATGCCTTGTCAAATAGCAAGCCAGGATCAAACTTCATGCCTTTTGATCAGAGAATTGAAAGACACACGGCACGATTATTCGCAGCAGTTCAGGGCTGCTAGGACTGGACATGGATGGAAGCCTGTCCAGCCTATGTGGATGTTCGGCTGTGCTGCGAGGAAAACAAGGTGCGCTGGTGGTTATGGGCATACGGTAGTACAGGCGTCTGAATATGATAGAGGTGCATGGTGATGTACATGGTTTGAAGCTTTACATGTTGGAGTGTGGTTGATTTGCTGAATTGTTATTTGCGCAGTACATCGCTCCAAACATGTTAGGGTAAGTGCAAGCAAAGGGGGAGAAACAGGTTTGCGAATGCCTTGAATTTTCCAAAGATCTGTCCCAAACCGAAATTATCACCGAAATTTCTGAGCATACAATCCGTATATTCAGAGACCTATGCGCTAAAATTTGATCTTAAAACACCATGTGTAGTCTTAGGTACCGGTGTTTGCACAGAATTTGTGAGATATTACGATATATACAGGTGCGAATACTTTGAATGAAAAAATTAGATCCGTAACATTTGTCCACCTGTCAGTTACAGCAGATTGTTTCGCTCGCGATCACCTCATAAAACCCAAGATTTCGTCACCACCATTCGCCACTTCAGGCTCCGAGAACCCCGAGGCCCATCGCAAAGGTAACGCCGAGCCAATCAACGGACGAATGAGATCACGCCAAGCGTGCCTTATCCTCTTCGGGAATCTGGAAATCGCTGGCCTCCCAGTAAGCCTCACTGATCTCCCCACCACACACCAGCTTCCGCCTGGCGGTGCAGGCACGGATGTGAACTCCAATTTGATTCCCTGCCTACACCTCTCAAGACAATCTGTTGTCTGGTCACCGCATACTCCAGCCTCCACACCAGATTCCTCTCCGCAGTCAGCTCATCCAGCCAAAGCCTACTCTCAGCCATGGCTGCCTTCGCTGTCTGCTCTGCCTCCGTGGTGGCTCCCACCAGCCTCTTGGCTAACAAGAGCGCTGTGTCGAGCAAGGTCGCTGCTACCCCCATGCTCGTCAGCAACAAGAGCCGCGTTGTGATGAGGTAGGTCTGCCGTCACTGCGCTCGTATACTTCAGCGGTTCGGACCGATCATCATGCGCTTGGTTCAGAATGATCCAACTTTCGCTTCCGTCCGTTATCATCATAACGACTATTTTCGAGAGCTTGGCGCGATCCAAGGCTTGACTTCGTAGTTCTAATCTTATTTCCCTTCGTTTCCGTTTGTTTTACAGCGCGGAGAAGAAGCAGAACGTCGCTCTCCCCGCCACCGCTGCTCTGCTCGCTGCTGCCATCATCCCCGAGATTGCTGAGGCCGCCCAGCCCGGCGTGTCCCCCTCGCTGCAGAACCTGATCAACAGCGTGATTGCTGGCGGTGTTGTCCTGGGTGCCATTGCCGTAGCTATCATTGGCGTGTCGAACTTCGACCCCGTCAAGAGAAAGTAAATGGTGGATGCACCGCTTGTTCAAATTTTGTGAAAACTATAGTACATTGTGCAGACTACCGTTCTTGCTTTCGGGGTCATAATATTTAACAACACTCTCAATCATTCCACGTCGTGCATGCTAATATATGACAGCTGACATGCCACACTGAGCTCCGTCTCGAATTGGCTTGCACCAGGAACCCTAACAATTCTTGGGAATAGGCTAAGCCGCACACAGACGTCCTACTATTGATTTCATTATCTTTTTCGACCTGATCAAGTACCATATGAAAGCTTCGTCAGTAACATTCATCTGCTAGGTAAGCAAGGAGCTGAAGCCTACACATGATCTTTCCAACATGTACCGTATTACAAGCCAAGTCATATCTACCTTTCATAACCCTACGTACCATGGTTCTAGATAGATATACTATATTGTATGTTCCTACCCTTATACCTACTCATATTCTGGTAAATATTCCTACCAAACAGCTACCACCAGCTATCTTTGAGCAATGAGAAGCGGATCTACAACGCATCAGTTACCACAGGCCCTTTTCTTACTCTGCTAAGCCAGCAATCATGTGGTTCTGGCACCAGCAGGAGATGCATCATCAGCAACATCTGCAGCACCACAATGGAACTCACTGCTGCTGCTGACACAGCTCCACCACCTGTCCAGCTTGGTTCCAACCAATGCTGATCCAGCTCCACCGTCAGCACCAGCACCAGCAACAGCCTTTTCCTCCTCCCTAGTAACCACTATCTCTTCCTCCTCTTCCTCCTCTTCCTCCTCAAACTCTTCTTCCTCCTCCAGCACACAAACACCTTCTGAAAACTCACTCGGCCTCCTCAGATGCCTGCTGTACCTGCTGCTACTGCTGCTACTAGTGGGCCGCCGCCTCCCCAAGTTGCTACTGCTGCTGCTGCTGCTACTCCCTCCACCTCTGCTCCAGTAATCAAACGACGGAGAGGCTGGGAGGAGATGCGGGAGGGCTGGAGACGAGACACAGCGTGGGTTCAAGCCTGCTCTCCCATCCCATTCATGCGCGGCCACATGCTGCCGATCCTCATGGCCACCATACATCACATGCTCCCCATGCTGATGGCTACTAGGCAACTCACCAGGATACATCACATGCTCCTCCCCATGGCGATGGTTATCATGCATCCCATGCTGCTGCTGACCATGCATCTCATGCTGCTGCCAACCGTGCCTCTCAGGCTTCTTGGCCGAGCCCCTGTCAAGCGGTGACTGTGCGTGCTGTGGGTGAGAGGTGCCAGAGGGTTGAGCTGGATAAGGAGACTGGCTCTGGTAACAGCAGTGCGGGAGTTGATGATGCTGCTGGTTTAGATGATGGTGTTGCTCGTGGTGCTGCTGATACTGCTGCTGATGACCATGCGGCTGGTGCTGCTGCTGATGGTGCTGCTGCTGCTGCTGCTGCTGCTGATGGTGGTGGTGGTGGTGCTGCTGCTGCTGCTGCTGCTGGTGGTAGTGGGGTGAGGATGCTGCACCTGGGTAAGCAAGCAGCTGGGGTGATGGAGCGTGGGGCGGCATCAGGTTGTACCCAAAGGGAACATGCACAGATGGTTGTTGCGATGCCGAGTGAACCAGCTGGTGCGGGCCTGCTTGGTACACCATGGGATGAAATCCGGCAGGCTGCGGGGCAGCAGATTGGTTGACAACAGGTTGGTTGCCAATCAAGCTGAATGGATAATGGCTCGGCGAAGGGACGTATGAGAGCGGTGGGTTTGGTGTAGATGGATGGTATGCACTGTGCCATGGGTGGGGGCCTCTGGCAATATGGAATGCGGCATGGTCAGCATGGGGGTGTGGATGGTCAGAGTGGCTTGGGTGGCTGCTAGATGAAAGTGGTCGGTTGTGGTTGCAGCAGCAAAACTGATCGGGTGGGTGCTGCTGCTGCTGCTGCTGCTGCTGCTGCTGCTGCTGCTGCTGCTGCTGCTGCTGCTGCTGCTGCTGCTGGTGTTGGTGCTGCTGGTGATGATGCTGGTTTTGCTGCTGATGCAGGTTTTGCTGCTGATGCCGATGCTGATACTGATGCAGATGGCGCTGCTGCCTCATATTTGCATCATCACCCTCATGCTGCATCCCATGCTCACTCCCATGCCTGTGCGCATGCCCATGCGCATGCGCCTGCGCCTGCCACTGCCAGTGCTCTTGCTCACACCACGCCTGGTCCAATCCAGCACAGTCATCACAGCGGCAGCAAGAACCACCCCCTCTCCCTCCCTTTTCTCTCTCCTCATCCTCCTCATCCTCCCCTCCCTTCCCTCCCTTCGCTCCCTTACCCCCCTTACCCCCTTTCTTTCCTCTCATTCCCGTAACTAACCCATACTGGGGTTTCTTTGTATTAGAGCCAAACCTTCCTCTCTCCCCCTTCCTATCAATCTCCTTGTTGCCCTCTTCCCCTAACTCTTCCCCTCTCACTTCCCCTAACTCTTCCCCTGACTTCTGCCCTCTCACCTCCTTCACCTGCCCCATATTCTCCTCCACTCTCTCCTTTTCTCCATCCCTTCCTCTCTCCTTCTCCCTCTCCTTCGCTCTCTCTTCCACTCGCTTTTCCTCACTCGCTTCCTCTCCACCTTTCACCTGATACCCCGCTCCCACATCCCTCGCACCATCCCACCGACCCTTGGCCACGCACCCCTGCTTTTGAGTCGACTCAAAAGCCGCTCCCACGTCCCTTGCACCATCCCACCGGCCCTTGGCTCCACACCCCTCGCACAGCCACTGCAGCCCTTCAACCTGGCAGCACGGGCACGCCACGCGAGCCAGCAGCAGCATCGGCACTTGTGGGGACAGCGACAAGGCGACAGCGGATTCAGGGACGGGGGTTTCAGGGAGGGGAGATTTGGAAACGGCAGATTCGGAAACGGCAGACTTGGGGAAGGTAGATCTGGGGGAGGTAGACCTGGGAAGGGCAGGCTGCGGGGCAGCACCGGTTCCCAGCACGCTACTAGAAGCATCACTCCGCACTGCAGTCTTCTCCCCCTCATCCAACCCTCTCTCTCCCCCTGCCCCTGCCCCCTCCAGTGCTGCCCCTGCCCCCTCCAGTGCTTCACATCGGCCACATCGCATCCTCTGCTGCTCGCTCCTCCTACCACCCCCTCCCGTCCCACTTGCCACCTCTTTTCCTTCCTCCAACCTTTGCCCTGCTTCTCCTACCGTCCTCACACCAATCCTCCTTCCAATCCCCCGTCCCATCCTTTCGAACGTGTCTCCTGCCCTCTCCTCGCCAACCTTCCACTTCAACCAACCCTCTCTCACCCAATGCACCTCCTCCCCTTCCCCTTCCCGCTCTCCTTCCCCTCTCAGCCCTACCCGTCCCCTGGGACTCCTCTGCCCTGCTCCCGACAGCCTCCCAGCTCCCACACTCTGTGATGATCCCCCCATTCCCACTGCAGTGGCAGCGGCAGCAGCAGACAGAGGCGCAGTTCGAGCAGGGGCAGCCGGAGAAGCAAGGTCAGAAGGAACAGCTGAAGCAGCAGCAGCAGCAGACGAGGATTGAGTGCATCCGCAACGCACCAGCCTGCCTGTCAGCCCAGGAGCAAGCAATGCAGCCACCGCCGCCGCCGCAGCAGAATCAGATGCAGAAACAGCAGCAGAAGCGGAAGAAGCAGCAGACGAAGGGGCATCAGTAGCAGAAGAAGCAGAAGCAGCAGCAAGTGGGGGGGGGACGGTTGGTGGAGGAAGCGGGATAGGAGGAGAGCCTTGAGGGGTAGGCATGGCAGGCAGGGGGGGGGATAGCGGTGGCAGGTCTGCTGAGTGGATGGCGAGGTGGCATGGCGGGGAGATGATTGAGTTTGAGAGGACTCAAGAAGAGCCTGAAAGGGTAGGCACTATGGGCAGGGGGGGGGAAGGATAGCGGTGGCAGGGATGCTGGGTGGATGGCGAGGTATGGCGGGGAGAACAAGCAGCTTCAGCAGCAGCAGCAGAAGAGGAAGCAGCAGGAGAAGCAGGTAGGGGTGTTGGGTTGAGCACGGGAGAGTCACGAGGCGTCATAGCAGTAGCCGTGGTTGACTGATAGGCGACAGGAGATTCAGCAGTAGGTAGAGCCGAAGCAGGCTCAGATGCGGATGCAGGAATGTCGACTGGAGCCCTTGGGGTGGACGGAGAAGCAGGCTCAGATGCGGATGCCGATGCAGATCTAGACGCAGACTCAGGACCAGAGAGAGACGCAGGCTCAGATGCGGATGCAGACACATATTCAGACGCAGCAGGAGGGAGAGGAGGAGCAGGAGCAGCAGGAGCAGGAGCAGCAGGAGCAGCAGGAGCTGCTGCAGCGTCAGCAGAAGACGGAGGAGCAGGAGGAGAGAGGGTGGCAGGCGAGTCGATCTGCAGCTGGTGAAGGCGCGACGCGAAGAGAGGGAGAGAGAGGGTGGCGGGGAGAGGTGGCGATGTTGTTATTAGTAAACAGGTGGGCTGCGGAGGTCTGATGTCCATCAACCTGAGTGTTACTGAGACGGCGAGACAAACTCCATGAAAATGAGAGAGGGTGGCGGGGAGAGGTGGCGGGGAGGCGATGTGCTCTGAGACAGGCCGGAACGGAGGTGTGCTGCTGCTGCTGCTGCTGCTGGCGCTGCTGCCGGTGTTGGCACTACGTGCCTCTCCGCATGGGCACTCCAGTGCGCTGCTTCTGCCAACAGCCTCCTTGGCACACCCCTCGCTGGTGGTATCCTCGTTAGTACAATCCTCGTTACTGGACCCCTCGTCTGTAGAGCCCTCACTAGCAGCACTCCCGCAGTTCTGCTCATTTGCCTGCTGAAGAGGCTGAGGAGCATAAGGATCAGAAGGGGACGGAGCGTCATGCAAGGCCGACGGCTCAGAAGAGAGAGGGTACGGATTGGAAGGTCCAGAAGGTGCTATGTAAACGTTCTCTGCGAGGACTTGAGATGGCGGCTTTCCCGGCAGATCCAACGGCTCCTGAGACGCCTCAAGAGGGACAGACGGGTCTGCGCAACCATCGGATGGAAGCACCTGTGATGGCGTTTCCGGGAGACCTGACAGCTTGTGCGACGCCTCAAAAGGGACAGACGGGCAGGCATGGCCGTTGGATGGGAGCACCTGTGATGGCGTTTCCGGGAGATCTGACAGCTTGTGAGGCGTCTCAAAACAGTCGGAGGGGTCAGCGTGGACGTGTGCTGTTAGCACCTGTGCCGGCGCTTCCAAGAGATCTGACAACTTGTGCGACGTCTCAACTTCGTGACAGGAGTCTCCGTGGACGTGTGCTGTAAGCACCCGAGCCAGCGTTTCCGGGAAGTCTGACAGCCTCTGCGTCGTCTCAACTGCGTCACAGCGGTCTCCGTGGACGTCTGCTGTGAGCGTTGTGAGAAGCTGTGAGGGCGGAGTCTCCGAGAGGTTTGAAAGAAGGTCCGGAGGAATCGTAGGGGGTCGGAGGGGTCTGCATGGCTGTCAGTTGTGAGGAGCTGTGAGGGCGTTTCTGACAGGTTTGAAAGGAGGTCGGGCGGGATTATCGGAGGGTGTGAGTAGGTGTGGAAGACAGGCGGTTCGGTTACAAGGTCTGGGGGCAGCAGTTCCAGGAGCGTGTGGTGGAGGTAGATTAGGGACGTCTCTAGCTCCCTCCGCTGCTCGCGTTCCTCCTGCACCTCCTGCAGCGCTTGCCACTCCGATGACTGCAGCTGAAACACCTGGCGATGGGGAGCAGTGGAGACGGGGACAGGGGGGGGATGAGCAGAGAAAAACGAGAGGGAGGGGTGCACAAGAGGCGCTCCCGCTCCTCCTGCACCTGCTGCAGCGCTTGCCACTCTCATGACTGCAGCTGAAACACCTGGCGATGGGCGGGAAAGGAAAGAGAAGGGGGTGCGGTGGAGAGGGGATGAGGAGGACAGGCAGAGGCGGGGACAGCGGGAGAATGAGCGAGAGGGAGGGGTGCTCAAGAGGCGCCCGCGTTCCTCCTGCACCTCCTGCAGCGCTTGCCACTCTGAAGACTGCAACTGAAACACCTGGGGTAGGGAGAAGAGGAGGAGGGGGGGTTAACGAGGGAAAGAGGGAGAAAAGGGGACTGTGAGCGGGGAACAGCAGCGTAAGGGAGGAGCAAAGGAAAACAATAGGGAGAGGAGCGAAGTGGTGCTGCCGCTCCTCCTGCACCTCCTGCAGCGCGTGGCAGCGCGTGCCACCTGGGGTAGAGGAGAGAGAGGGGGAGAAAGGAAGCGGGGGAAGGCGGGAGAGGGGGGTAAGACTGGCCATCGCGGTGCGAGTGACCGTCCCTGTGTTGAGTTGAGCTACCCTGTGTGTGCGACTGAGCGACTCAGCATTGACTGACCGTATACAGGGCAGTGAAGGCGGAGGCGACTGACTGACCGTCTCTGTGTCTCGCTGATGCTGCCCCTTGTACCTGCTGACCTCGTCCCTTAGCCCATTGTAGGGGAGCGACACACACCGACAGAGTAGGCAGAGCCACAAGGGGGGGGAGGGAGAGGCGACTGACCGTCTCTGTGTCGCGCTGATGCTGCCCCTTGTACCTGCTGACCTCGTCCCTTAGCCTCTCCATCTGCTGCTCCACCGCCTGTGCAGGGCGAGAGAGAGAGAGAAAGAGAGAGAGAGAGAGAGAGAGAGAGAGAGAGAGAGAGAGAGAGAGAGAGAGAGAGAGAGAGAGAGAGAGAGAGAGAGAGAGAGAGAGAGAGAGAGAGAGAGAGAAGAGAGAGAGAGAGAGAGATGGAGAGGGAAATAAAGAGAGGGAGAAAGGGAAACGAGAGAGAGAGGATGCGGATGGATGGGGATAAGGGAGAAGGTGTGGGAGAGCAAAGACTTGGTGAGTACCCCATACCTTGCCATGCCCCGCCATTACCCACCCCACCCGCACTCCGCCATACCCCCTCTCGCACTCCGCCATACCCCCTCCTGCATGCCGCTATGCCCGGTTCCCCCGTCCGCCGCACCTTCATGCCATCTTCCGCCAATGCGCGCAGTATCCGCTCCATCTCCACCTCCTCGCGCAGTGCTTCCACCAGACTTGCCTCCCCCTTCCCCCCCTCCTCCCCCTCCTCACCTTCCTCCCCCTCCTCACCTTCCTCTCCCCCATCTCCCTCTTCCCCTTCTTCCCCCTCCTCCCCACACTCCTCCCCCTTTCCCCCATCCTCCGTCTCCTCTTCTCCCCTTTCCTCCTTTTCCTCCTCCCCATGCCCCCCCTGCTCCCTTTCCCCGTCGTACCCATCCTCGTCCCCTTCCCCTTTCAGCTCCCCGCTTCCGCCGTCCTTCCCGCATCTCCGCTCTTCCTTGAGCCACGTCAGCGTGACATCAACCCCCCTCGGCTGCTGCTCCCCGCGCTTCCGCCTATTCGTCTCCTCCGCGAGCTTCGCGGAATCTTCGTCCATCAGCCTTCACTCCTGCTTGTAGGTCTAAACGCGTTAGACGATTTCGTCCATGCTGAGAGCTATTTAACCTCAATCTTCGCTGCACGGAACAGCGCTCGCTACAGACGAGTCGTCCTTGTAGCTCAATGGACGGCAGCTTGTCAACGCGTTGATCCAATACCTCTAGGTCAGTATGCAACAGTACGGCTTCAACGAAACGGCTTTCGTGAAAGGAAAGACGCGTCGACGAGATCGTAATGCGCTGGTCTCGCTGACAGTAACGCAGTTTCGTTGTCGCGAGCGAATAAGGAGCGAGCAACGAGGAGCAAGTAGTCGCCGCGAGGTCACGCTTGCAGAAGGATGATGAGCTACAGATTATTATTATTTTTAATCTAGTAGACTTATCAGCTAGAATACATGCATACATTAGCCATGGACGCGTCGCGTCACACTGGTGGAGGGGGGAGCAGCATGTTCGTCAACACATGGCAACAGGAACGTGCTCAAGAACGAATGGAAGTAACGTGTCGTAATTTACGAGGCTGATCAGCCACGCTAGTAGCCTCGTCCTCGTGCATATTTGGCAACAGGGTAGGGTATGCTGTTGAGCAGGGGGGCACCTACTGGCTGATGTGCCACGCTAACCCTTGCACCTCGTCGAAAAGCGTAGAAACGTCATAATTGCTATCTTTAACGCACTTCACCATGTAGAATATCGTTTATAAAGCAATCGAGTGCAACGGAAACAGCGAACACCTCGGGTGTGGTTGGTTCCATTAATCCAAACCAACCGAAGTGGGTTCTGAAACCTGATACAGACGGACGGTCAGAACAATGCAACCAGCCCCTACGGGCGGATGGACGGCCACGATTTGCTGATCCGAGCAGCCAAGCGCAGCCTCGAGGGAACAGCCAGTCGCGGGGCGAAGGCGTCCCAGGCAATGGCAGGTGGCAGGGAAGGGGAGTGCTGCTCGCGCCTATGGGATCCGTTCTGGGTCCAGCGCAGATGCGGCGAAGCGGGGCGAGCAGTAGCGAATGTTGGGGAAAAGGGGGAATGTGCTGGGTCTCGACGTGACACGTACGCAAGTTTCACGCGCTCTGGCAACCGCGCTGTTTCGTGGTGTCAGTTCAATGCACCAGATCAGCGACAGGCTTGTTTAGCCAATACGATGGTGGTATCTGGTCTGCGAAACGCCAGCCCCAATCAGGTTTATCGTTCAGTTCCAACCCTACAGGAAGTTTCTGTAACGGCTGGTACAATCGGGCAACCCACATTTCGCACAACGAATCAAGCCGCATTCTTCGTCTGCAGCTGTCACAAAATGGTACCGTTCGGTCAGCCGTGAAATCAGACCCAACCACTTAGCATCGAGTGCGGGGCTAGGTCTGCTACTCTATAGCGAGTACACGACAGGCGTGCGCGCCGTTCCAGCGACACGTGCCACAGATAAGTACACGAGAGTGACAACTTCAATGTCGCAAAAGCTTGTGTGCAGGAAAGTTATTTCCAAATCCTATTTTCAGAGTTCGTGGTTATAGTCCAGTAGGAATGAGGCGTTAGCGCATAACGGCCGACTTAATAAAGAGTACACACAATTTTCACTCGCTTTTTTCCAGCCATTCCATTACCGTTGATTCTGCCTTTTCCATTCCCGCCATGAAACGCTACTTCAAGCCAGCCACGAAAGCGACAGCTCCTCAAATCACCTCGACCGCTCCAGAGAGACATGTAGGAACCGAGGCGGAGAAACATGGCCGAATGGCGGAGAGGGACGGGGAAACGGCGGAGAGAGATGGGGGAATGACGGACGGACGCAGTGCTGCGGGGAAATGCGCAGGAGAAGCGGGGACAGCCGGGGGAGTCAAACGTCCTGCGGAAGGCCCCCCTGCGGAGTACTGTCGCGAATCTTTTCGCGGAAGGGAGGAGCAATTGGAATCCAGGGAGCAGGGCGAGCAACGGCAATCAACGAAGGCCGACGAGCCAGCGCAAGGGGAAACAGTAGCGCTTCAAGAGCCGTTGAGGTGCGGCGAGCCGTGAGGTCTTGCGGCCGTGAGATTAATCAACCTGCATGCAGCCCTGAGGTTTCAATCAGCCTGCTCTTGGTTTTTGAGTCGGCTGAAATTCAAGAACGGTCGATCTAGAGGATCTCGACCTGCTTGCGTTCACGTCGTGACTTTCTCCCAAGGGCGAAGCATTCGTACTCTCCTCCCCTCATAGACCCACACTCGCATTCCTCCTCCCCCACCATCCCTTTCCACCTTCCTCCCTTCTTTTCCCCCTTGTCCCCCTCTCCCCATCACAACCGTTGCTCAAATAATGTCCTTGTATGCCAACCATTTCCTGCTCCGACTGATACACAACCGGGGATAGTTTTGAGTCGACTCAACATAAACCCACTCTCTTCCAACCTCCCTCACCCTCTTTTGCACACACCTCATCCACCCTCCTTCCCAGAATAATGTCTTGGAATGCCAACAGCTTCCTACTCCGGCTGAGACACGACCGGGCGGAGTTACTTGGCTTTATCAACAAGCACTCGCCTGACGTCATTGCCATTCAGGTGAATCCAGCAGAGCGAGTCAGGTGGATGCAGCAGAGCAAATCAGATGGTTGGTTGAGTTTGAGCAAAGTCCTTTATCACTGCAAACTTGCATGGTCAATCAAGAGCCAACAATTCCCGTGTGATAGGTCTATTTTTGAATCGACTAAAAAATAGTCCTCACTGTGAGCTTGCATGGTCTATAGAATCGACTCAAAAATAGTCCTCACTGTGAGCTTGCATGTTCAATAAAGAACCAACAATTCCCCCTATCTTCCCCTCAACCTTCCACCTCCCTCCCCCTTTCCCACTCCGTCTCCCCCTTCCCCTTCACAACTTCCCCCCTTCCCCCGTCCTTCCCCGTCCCCCTTTCCCCTTTCCCCCGTCCCCCACCTGGGGCGCAGGAGGTGCGCATGCCAGCAGCAGGGCGGAAGGGCGGACCTCTCAACCAATCAGAGCTCAAGGATGACACGAAGCAAGCCCGGGAGGAGAGGCAGGTGGGTAGAGGAGAGAAACGGGAGAGTGGACGGGGGAGGAGAGGGGGAGGGGGAGAGAAGGAGGAGAGTTGAGGGGGAAGGGGAGGAGGGGAAATGGAAAAGATGGACTAGAGGGTTTTTTGGGGAAATGGAAAGAAGAAAGAAAGAATGGAAAAGAGAGGCTTAAGCACTTGCAGCCTTCACACCCTGAAAGCTTAAGTTCGGCTTGAAATCTCTTGTTTTTTTCCTCTATTCTTTTCCTCTCTCCCTCTACCCCTCTCCCCTTGTATCCCTCTCTCTCCCTCTCTCTCCCTCTCTCTCCATGTCAGTTCATGCAGCATGCATTGGCATCACCGCCATTCTCCCTGTACCGGGTGTGGTGGTCCCTCGCTCCCACCAAGTATGCCGGCACTGCCATGCTGCTCAAACGCTCCCTGCTGCCGCACCTCCTCTCCGCTTCCTTCTCCCTTGATGTGAGTGAGTTCAGTGCGGTCCAGTGCGGTAGAGAGTAGCACCACCATCCCCCCTGTACTGGGTGTGGTGGTCCCTCACCCCCACCAAGTATGCCGGCACTGCCATGCTGCTCAAACGTGCCTTGCTTCCTCACCTCCTCTCCGCCTCTCTCTCACTTGAAGTGAGTTCATTACAGTGCAGTGCAGTTTAGTGCGGTGCAGTGCGGTACAAGCAGGTAGAGTGTGTCGCTGCCATTCTCCCTGTACCGGGTGTGGTGGTCCCTCGCTCCCACCAAGTATGCTGGCACTGCCATGCTGCTCAAACGCGCCCTGCTGCCCCACCTCCTCTCCGCCTCCTTCTCCCTCGATGTGAGTGCGCTCAGTGCGGTGCAGTGCGGTGGAAGCAGGTGAGGTTGGACGTCTCCTTTCTCCTTCTTGCATCCCTCCGCGACCCCACCTCCTCAACACCTAAGAGCCAAACAATAGACTCTCCAAACACCCCCAGCACCGCACTGAACCAATTCATCTTTTAACTCATTCCCACTGCTCGCAGGTGGGAATGGCAGAGCAGGGAAAGCAGCAGAGGCAGCAGCACGAGGCAGACTGGGGAGCAATCATCCTGGAATTCCCATCTCTCCGCCTCGTCAACACCTACGTGCCAAACAATGGCTTCTTCAAACACCCTCCCACTGCGCTCCTTCAACACCTCCCTTCCCTCGTTCCCACCTTCCTGCATGCAGGTGGGAGCGGCGGAGCAGGGAAAGCAGAAGAGAAAGCAGCACGAGGCAGACGGGAGGGTGATCATACTGGAATTCCCATCTCTCCGCCTCGTCAACACATACGTGCCAAACAATGGCTTCTTCAAAGACTCTTCCAGCACTTCCCTTCCTTCCCACCTTCCTTCCTACAGGTAAGGACAGCGGAGCAGGGAAAGCAGCGAAAGCACGAGGCAGACGGGAGGGCGATCATCCTGGAATTCCCATCCATCCGCCTCGTCAACACATACGTGCCAAACAATGGCTTCTCCAAAGACTCTCCCAGCTTTCCCCGCCGCGCCGAGTGGGACGATCGCATCCGTCGGTTTCTCACCAGCGACGCCGTGCAATCCAAGCCGTTGATCTGGCTGGGTGATCTCAATGTGAGGTGTGGATCTGAAGAGGGTAATCTCGAGGGTTTGTATCCACACAGCCTGGTTTACTCCTTTGTTCCTTTGTTCCTTTACTCCTTTCCTCCTTTGCTCCTTCACTCCTGGGAGAACAAAGCTCCTACTATGTCAAGTAACCTTTTTCTTGCGCGGATGTCTCTTCCATATCGGTTCACCCTCTTTCCCACTTCCATCCTGTCATATGCAAGTCTCTCTGGACATTTCAACATACCTCAACCTCTCTCCCGCTTCCATCCCACTGCTCTTCCCTCTCCCCTCCCAACGCCAGTCCGACAGACGATGACGTCAGCGACCCTGAGTTCTTCCGTACGGCGACCAATGGCGAGCCCGCTACTGATCCCGGGGTGAGATTCGGTATGCTCTAAACATTTCCGCCGACCATTTTGGAGAGCAAAAATTAAGTTGTGAGGCGCCTCAAAAGTTTCGAGGCGCTTCATAGAGATGCTGCAGTTGGAGAGCATAATAGAGGTTCGAGGCCTCGGGAATGTATTGCCTGTGCTTTTGGCCCCGATGTTTGACAGGAGATGGTTTGGAAGTTTCCAGAAACGATTCCCCGTGTGCCCATTGGTACCAACTCTTTGTGTTGCGTCTCCCCTCCTGTCTCTCGATGCATGTGGGCCGCAGGATCGGGGCCAGCCGGGGTTCTCTCCCAACGAACGGATGAGATTCGCCGAGACTCTCAAAAGGTTGGGTGTGTGAGAGAGAGGAAGTGTTCAAGGTGCTGCGTGTGGGGGGGTCGTTTGGGGGGATGAGGGGGGGGGAAAGAAGGCAGAAAGTGAGGAAGGGGGAAATTGGGGGTTCTGGGTGGATCCTTGCTTACTGTGCTCCCTAATTTCCACTCTGCTTCTCCTTTCGTCCCGATTTTCTCTTCCTCTTATTTCCTCTCCTTTGCTCTCCCTTCCTCTCCTCTTTCCTCCTCTCCTCCTCTTCCTTTCCTCCTCACCTTGCCAGAGCTGGTCTGACAGACGCGTATCGCCACATGCACCCCAGCATGGACTTACAGGCAGGCTTCACGTGGTGTGAAGGTCAAGTTTGTGTTGTTTTTACGACGCATCGATCATACCCCCCTCCATTCTCGTCTCCTTTTCTCCCCACGCCAGAGCTGGCCTCTCAGACGCGTATCGCCACATGCACCCCAGCAAGGACATGCAGGCAGGCTTCACATGGAGTGGCAACCCCGTGGGGAGGTGTGTGGTGGAGAGGAATGAAGGTTCAAACCCACAAGCACATGGAAGACACACACTCAGCAGCATCGGTTTTGCATTTGCAAATCGCCACATGCACCCCAGCAAGGGCATACAGGCAGGCTTCACATGGTTCCCCCCTCCTCCGTGGAGAGGTGTGTGTGGCGAGTGTAAAACGCCATGCACACACACACACACACACACATACACACATACACACACACACACACACACACACACACACACACATACACACACACACACATGCACACATGCGCATGCGGGCTGAATATTGGGGCGAATTTCCCATCTGATGCACCTCCTCCCAATCCTCCCTTGCTGGCCCATATGCTGCACTCTACCGGGGCAAGCACATGCAATTCAATTGCCTCCCCTGCCATGTGCCAGATACACTCAAACTAGTGGCCCTCTTCCCCTCCCCCCTGTGCTGGCTCGTTTCCGGTGCCATGCCATGCTATGCCATGCCATGCCATGGCAGGTACTGGGGGAAGCGCATTGACTACTTTTGTTTGTCAGATACAGCTTCAACTTTCGGCCCTCTTTCTGTATTCTGTGCTGCCATATGATGCCATGGCAGGTACCGGGGCAAGCGGATGCGGGTTGACTACTTTTGTGTGTCCAATGACCTTCTACCCCGGGTGGAGACATGTGAAATTCACGGGCGAGGGTTCGAGGGGAATGGTGAGTATGCATGGAGAGGATGGGTCTGCTTTAGTTTTTGTCCAACGACCTTCTACCCCGGGTGGCAGCGTGTGACATTCACGGGCGAGGGATCGAGGGGAATGGTGAGTATGCATGGAGAGGATGGGTCTGCTTTAGTTTTTGTCCAACGACCTTCTACCCCGGGTGGCAGCGTGTGACATTCACGGGCGAGGGATCGAGGGGAATGGTGAGTATGCATGGAGAGGATGGGTCTGCTTTAGTTTTTGTCCAACGACCTTCTACCCCGGGTGGCAGCGTGTGACATTCACGGGCGAGGGATCGAGGGGAATGGTGAGTATGCATGGAGAGGATGGGTCTGCTTTAGTTTTTGTCCAACGACCTTCTACCCCGGGTGGCAGCGTGTGACATTCACGGGCGAGGGATCGAGGGGAATGGTGAGTATGCATGGAGAGGATGGGTCTGCTTTAGTTTTTGTCCAACGACCTTCTACCCCGGGTGGCAGCGTGTGACATTCACGGGCGAGGGATCGAGGGGAATGGTGAGTATGCATGGAGAGGATGGGTCTGCTTTAGTTTTTGTCCAACGACCTTCTACCCCGGGTGGCAGCGTGTGACATTCACGGGCGAGGGATCGAGGGGAATGGTGAGTATGCATGGAGAGGATGGGTCTGCTTTAGTTTTTGTCCAACGACCTTCTACCCCGGGTGGCAGCGTGTGACATTCACGGGCGAGGGATCGAGGGGGGCCAGTGAGAATAGATGGAGAGTAGGGGGGGTTGGGGGAGAAAGGGGAAGGGAGAAGGCGGGGAGGGATTGGGTGTGTGGGGGGGTGCGTTTATACTCTGGAGTTGCTGTATATGATCGATAGCGAACAAGGGGTGTGATCCTTCATCAAAGCTCTTCGCTCCATGTGTGCCATATTCCCCCGACTGCAGGGTTTCTAGGAAGTGACCATTGTCCTATCACCCTCGCCCTTCGGCCAAACTGAAGCAACTTTACGCTGTTGATCAACTTTACTTTGCCTGAAACCTGCACATTGAATGTGTAACCCCTTTGAAGGATGGCGATTGCAGGCTTTGTGATACCACGCGTTCAAGCCCTCAATGGGATTTACACCTGATGGATCCATCTGACGACCCATAACGTTTTCCCTATCTGTTAGATACCTGCTCGATATCTAAGTTATGGTATAAAAAAAAGGTTCCCACACACGTTTTGGAAATATCGGAGGCTGCTAAAAGCAAATTTAGGTCAATGAAGTTCCATTCCTAAGAACCATTCCTTAGACAAACAAACAAACAAACAAACGATTTCATATACGGTTTTAGGTGTGATGGATTGGGTATGGTGTAGATAGATTCGCTGTTGCTGACATCGCATCAGACATTCGTTGCCACGTGAACGTAACGTACTCCCCATTTCTTGACAAAGCAACCCCTCCAGCACCCCTGAACAGATATGAAATCCAAAAATTGCGCTACTCGGGACAAATGCACAATTGCCTTGCGGGTGACAAAGGCGGTGGGGTGGGGATGGATGGGCGTGGGAAGGGTTCGAGTTTCCTTTTCCAGTGTTCTCTGAACGTTGGAGGCTTTTGAAAATGTTTCTAGCCCCGCTACCCTCATTCCTAGTTCCCCACGCCGTACGTCCTTTCCCCCTTCTCCCACTGTCATGCTGCAGCAAACCCTCAGCACCAGCGGCTCTAACCATGTAGCAGACTGCATCCAGCACAGAACAGCAAATCAAGATCATTAGCAGATCATTGGTGACGGGTCGTCCGAAATGGTTGATGATTTGATGTTTCCAGGGCGACGGGCTCTGCATCCGCTAGGCGACGTTGGTGGAATCGAGATTCGAGAACCCACCAAGTGGGGGTTTTCGCAAGTTCGGTCGGGCGCACCTCGGCCCGGTAGGCTGTATGATTTGACGTTTCAAGTGGGGGGGTTTTGAAGAAAGTGGTTCGGTTTGGGATTCTGGAAAGCGACCAGAGATGTTTGGGTTTCGATTGTGAGACTTCAGGAGCAAGAGAGACCCGAGGAGGAAGAGCAGCTTTGGCTGTTGATGTTTGGCTTTGGGTTTGCCATCCATTTCTCCAACCCAAAGCCGCACAACCACCTAAACACGGGCGGGAAAGCGGGACAATGTGATGTGATACGACGCGATTTGTTAGGGCGGGCAAAGCCGTATAACTAAGCAGGCAAGCAACACCAGGAACGCTGAGGTGGATGGTCCTATGACAAACCAAGCCCTTCGGTCTGGGCTTGGCCTGGTTTGGCCGGAGTAGGCGTGCGTTTCCGCGGCTAAGCAGCGAGAGCTTGGCTTGCCTGCGGGTTCAGCTCCTCTTGTTCAATCTGCTCTTGGCAATGGCGGTGGATATGGAAGTTTGGCAGACAGGCACACGCTGTGAGCGGCACCGTTGGTGAAGACAGCGGCGTACTGGCGGTGCCTGATGGAATAAGCACTGGTGATGATGCAAGGCCATTCCGAGGCCATTGTAGTTATCACATTCCTCGTGGACTCACGCGTGCAATGGGAAGCAATATTTCAAAGGTGGGAATTTGCTAATCGGCGTTAGATTGGAGTATTCTGCGAGGGCGGTGGGATTGACAGGTGCTGCTTTTTGGTGTTTTCTAAACGACCTCTTGCGTTGCATTTGCAAGGAGTGATGCTCGAGATTCCCCTCGGGAATCCCAAGGTATATAAAGTCGGTTCCGCTTTGGAGTTCTCCTTGATGAGCCTCGAAGACTCCTTTCTGTGAAGCTTCTTTCGCAGATTTGGTAAACCTTTGAGTCGAACGAAACGACGTCCTCGAGTGAATCTCCTTCGCGACGCTTCAGTTTTTTACTAACGTTCTCTAGACTGAGCGGTTTTGCTCACCAGGACTCAGAAAGGTCTTCTTCGCGGTACCGCGTTCAGCCGCAATACTTTCATATAGTACATCTAACTTTCGGTGGACTCAATTCCACGATTTTTTTATACGTTCCTATAGTACATTATACCCGTACTCTTAGTGGACGCGTACCCTACATTTGAGGTTATGAGTCGAGTCCCTCCGATTCAGCCAATAGCCCTTCATTCTAGCCAATAACCGTCCGATTCAGCCAATAACCGTCCGATTTAGCCAATAACCGTCCGATTCAGCCATGGAAAAACGCTCCGCAGTGTCGTGGTGGATGCCTGCGCTGATAGCCTGGACTCTCGGGTGGTTAGCGCTCTCCATCTTCGTAATATGGTCCACGCGAAAGGCGGCGCTCGACCCGCTAAACGCGGACCTCACGTCGTGGTGCCTCGCGCGCGTGCGATACCTGGATCAAGAAATCGCGTCAAACTTGAACCACGCTGAGGTGCGTGTGACAGATCTCTCGTTAGGTCAGCTCATTCGCGCACGGCGTACGCGGCGCGCGCTCCGTCGCGCCGTCTCGTAAACTTAACTTTCTTGTTCCATGTTCGCCTTTCCTTTCTCGCTAAATTAGAGCGTATAGCTCCCTGAGATCCTAAGCGTTCTTCCGTGTCGCGAGCATGATTATCCCTTTCGCGTCCTTCGCGTCATTCCGCGTGCTTCGCGCGCGACGGTCTCCGCGTCTCCTTCCCGTGTCTTTCCCGGATTCAGTCCCAAGCGTCCGTCCTTTCCGCGCATTCCCCGCATTTCGCTGCATTCCCCGCATTCACCGCATTTCGCCGCATTCCTCGCAATCACCACGTTTCCCGCGCTCCCCGTGTTCCCCTCATCCCCCGCATACCCCCCATTCCCCCCCTGACCTTGTGAAGCTCATCTGAGGGTTTATTAACTTCCGCCCAAAAGGTTGAATTTGGAGTCGATTCCAAACCAAACCCGCATTACGGAGAGTATCCCACGCATCCGCGTTCCCCAACCCCCCTATCCTCTTCCCCGTTTCCCCCCTCCTCCCCTCGCTGTGCGCGCAGGTGAACGTGGGGCTGATCAAGGTGTTCAACGGGTTTGGTCCCAAGGCGCCGGACCTGGCGTACTGGGGGTACACGGGGTGCCTCAACAACCATTCCCTCCATCCCCCGCGTCTCCCCGCGACTCCCCGTGTCCTCCTCTCCTCCCCCCCCTCTCCCCCCCCCCCGGCGTGCAGGTGAACGTGGGGCTGATCAAGGTGTTCAACGGGTTCGGCCCCAAGGCACCCGACCTGGCGTACTGGGTGGGGATACACGGGGTGCCTCAACAGTCATTCCCCCCATCCCCCGCATCCCCGCGTCTCCCCACGACTTCCCGCGTCCTCCCCTCTCCCCCCCCTCCCCCCTCCTCCTCCCGCGCGCAGGTGAACGTGGGGCTGATCAAGGTGTTCAACGGGTTCGGCCCCAAGGCACCCGACCTGGCGTACTGGGGGTACACGGGGTGCCTCAACAACCGGTCGTGGATCCGATACGCCGAGGAGACGCAATACGCCAAGCCCTGGATGACCAACGCCTGGCTCGCCTTCGTTGATGGGCCGGACAGGTGCGTCTCATATCGACAGTCGCGTCTTTGCCCATCTCTCCCATCCCATCCCCACCCCCCACCCACCGCCCCGTATTCGCTCCTCTTCCTCCTCCGGGCTTTTCCCCCTTCCCCCCCCCCCTCTCCCTTTCCTCACAGGCCGATGATAGAGAAGTCGTTGGGGTGCCAGTGTCAGAGCATAAACAGCCTGGAGGCGAAAGTAAGTCCGCGCAAGGACTGCTACGTGGTGAACCTGTTCCAGTTCAGCCCCTTCTACAACTGGCCGCAGTGCACCGATTACACCCACCCACCGCCTCACCCACCCGTGCCCGCCCACTCTCTCTCCTCACTCATGGCCCAACCCATCCCTCTCCGCGCTACATCCCCTCCCTCCTCCCGCTTCCCCCCTCCCTCCTCCCTTTCCCTCCGCATTTCTCCCTTCCCCACTCCCTCCTCCCCCCAGACCAATGATAGAGAAGTCACTCGGATGCCAGTTTCAGAGCATCAACAGCTTAGAGGCGAAAGTAAGCCCACGGAAGGACTGCTACGTGGTGAACCTGTTCCAGTTCAGCCCTTTCTACAACTGGTCGCAGTGCACCGATTACACCGACCGCTTCGGCGAGGGCTGCAGCGACCTCAACACCAAGTGGAAGAGCCGCGGCAGCCCTCCGTACCGCTTCCGAAACGGCCACATCGGATTCAGTGAGTGGAGTGGCTATTGCCTGGTCAAATGGGAGTATTCAGGTTTTGAGGCGCCGCAAAATTATTGCCTGGTGGAATGGGAGGATTCAGTGAGTGGGGGGCTGGTGTTGTAATTGTGGCCTTGTGTTGCATGCAATTGTGGCCTTGTGCTGCTGGGGTTTCATCGATTGAGAGATTATATCTGCCTTGTGTGCGCTTTCGTCCTGTTTTGTGGACTTGCACATGTTTTGCGTGCTTGTGTGTGTGTGTGTGTGCGCGCGCGCGCACGCGCGTGCGTGCGTGCGTGCTTGCGTGCGTGCGTGCGTGCGTGTCTGTGTGCATGTCATCAGGTTTTGGCATTCCAGTGCTGCGTCACCCAATAAGTGACAACGCCACGTCAGAGGAGGTTCTGGCGGCGCTGGCGGGATTCTTAGCTCCTGGCATCGACGCCGAGGCGCTCATAAAACACACACTCTACTCTGTACTCGATACAGGTATATTGTCTCTACTTGATACAGGTACGTTGTCTGTACTCGATACAGGCAGGTATGTGTTCTGTACTCCCCCTCCCCCTCAACCTCCTCCTTCCCCTCCCTTCTCCCTCCCCCCTCTCCCCCTCCCCCTCCTCCAGGCAATTCCTCCGCCATCTCATTCACAATGTATGATGTCACCAACGCATCCAACCCCCTGATGGTGTTCAGCGACGGCGACACACAGCCCGCCACGGGCACCAACCCCATCTACCCCATGGTGCTCCCCGCGCCAATCCCCCGGGCGACAAGGTCGTTCAACCCTTCCCAGACGACTTCATCGGAAGGCGATACGAGGGCCACTGCCGCTACCGCCACCCTCCCCCCGTCTGGGGGACCCTCCTCGCGCCCATGCTCCTCGGGCTGCTCGTGCTGCTGGTGGCGGTGCTGTTGACGTTTATCATAGTGTCGCTCGCGAGGAAGAAGGCGAGGATACGGCAGCAGATGGCGGAGGTGGAGGAGTATACTCTCGCGCTGGAGCAGGCGGAGCGGTCGAAGAGCGAGTTTGTCGCGAACCTGTCGCATGAGCTGAGGACGCCTATAACGGGGATGCTGGGGATGATGGACTGGCTGCTCGAGTCGAGCCTGTCAGAGTGGCAGCACCGGGATTTACTGGATGCAAAGACGTGTGCCGTGGAAGCTATAGGACTGCTGAATAGCGTTCTGGACCTCGCCAAGCTGCAGGTAGGACTGAGGCTACGAGTATCTGCCTCTGTGGCAGCAAGGTGTGCTTGTGGCAACAGGTATGGCCCACAAGGTGGGCCTGGGTTGGGGATGCTGGGGAGGGATGATGGACTGGCTGTTGGAGTCGAGCCTGTCGGAGTGGCAGCACCGGGACCTGCTGGATGCCTAGATGTGTGCTGTGGAGGCTATTGGGCTTCTGAACAGCGTTTTGGATCTGGCCAAGCTGCAGGTAGGGGGTGTGGGCAAAAGGGTGGGGGTGTGGGCTGCGCGCATGTGCAAGGTAGGCCTGTAGGTCTGTGTGGCTGCTCAAGTCGAGTCTGTCGGAGTGGCAGCACCGGGACCTGCTGGATGCAAAGACGTGTGCTGTAGAGGCCATTGGGCTGCTGAATAGCGTTCTGGACCTCGCGAAGCTACAGGTAAGTCTGAGGCTACGTGTATCCGTTGCTTCAGGGTGGGGTAGGGCTGTGGGTGACAAGGGGCTGTGAGTGGGGTGGAGTATATGAGAGGGGCAGCACCACACCCATTCCCGACCACTTGTATTCCTAGTTTCCAACTGAACCCCTTGATCCACCCCTCCGCTTGTCTCATTACTCCCCTTTCCCACTACTCAACTCGACCACGACTCCCCATCATGCCAGGCGAACCGGTTGGCGCTGGAGGCCTTCCCGTTCAGCCCGCACCAGTGTGCTGACCTGGCTGTGCGCGCCCTCATGTATTCTCCTTTCCCCACTAATCTCCTCCCCCCTTCCCCTCCTACTCCCTGCAATGACAGGCGAACCGGTTGGTGCTGGAGGCCTTCCCATTCAGCCCGCACCAGTGTGCTGACCTGGCTGTGCGCGCCCTCATGCCCGACGCGCACAAGAAGAACCTGCAGTGTGAGTGCCGCACCAAACTGTTTGATTCTAATTCCCAAGCAGTGCCTGAAGCAAGTATCTGAAATGAGTTGGTCCTGTTAGAATCTATCTTCTCTTGTAACCTGCATAGATGTTATAGGATAGGCTAGAGATAAGCACCCAAACTTAGTTTGGGTGTTCAAGCAGGGGTTACCCAATTTGTAGGTTGGAAACCCAACCTTGGTCCAATTATTGGACCCCAAAGGTTGGGTTGGGTAGAATTATTGGTTCACACCAATAATGTTGGCCCAACCCCAACTTGGCCAACATTATTGGACCCCACCAATAATCCCCCAACCCAACTTCATGGGTGGGGTCCAATAATGGTCACCTAGGCTAGGATCCAACCCATTCCCTATGTAAACCCCCAATCTCCTCAATTCAACAACAACTTCTCTTCTAACTTTTCTTCTCACATGGTATAGAGCTCTTAAAAATCCTAGGCCTACGCTCCTAGTTTTTTTTCAAAGGCCGCCGCAACCCCCGGCCTCCTTTCTCATCTTTTCGCGGCTACCTCGCCTCCCTCCCCCTCTCCTCAAGCACTCCCTCCCTCTCAGCCCCGCGGCCTCCTACGCCGTCACGGCCTGCGCCGCTCCCTTCACCGGCCCCACCGCCGCTTCCACGCTCGCCTTGTCGCGGTCCCACCGACCGCCACCGCCCGCCCCATTCCACGGCCTCGACGCCGCCTCCGCGCCAACGACACTGCGGCTCCACCAGCCGCCGTCGCCGCCGCCGCTCCCTTCCGCGACCTCGTCGCCACCTCCGCGCCTGCACTGCCGCGGCTTCGCCAGCCGCCGCCGCTCGCGCCGCTCCCTCCCGCGACCCCGTCGCCGCCTCCGCGCCTGCACTGCCGCGGCTTCGCCAGCCGCCGCCGCTCGCGCCGCTCCCTCCCGCGACCGCGTCGCTGCTTCCGCGCCTGCACTGCCGCGGCTTCGCCAGCCGCCGCCGCTCGCGCAGCCCCCTCCCGCGGCCTTGTCGCCGCTTCCGCGCCTGCATCGCCGCGGCTTCGCCAGCCGCCGCCGCTCGCGCCGCTCCCTCCCGCGGCCTTGTCGCCGCCTCCGCGCCTGCACTGCCGCGGCTTCGCCAGCCGCCGCCGCTCGCGCCGCTCCCTCCCGCGGCCTTGTCGCCGCTTCCGCGCCTGCACCGCCACGGCCTCGCCAGCCGCCGCCGCTCGCGCCGCTCCCTCCCGCGACCCCATCGCCGCCTCCGTGCTTGTCCCGCCGCGGCTGCGCCAGCTGCCGCCGCCGCCTGCGCCTCTCCGCGGCCCCAACGCCGCCTCCACGCCAGCGCCGCCGCGGCCTCGTCAGCCGCCACCGCCAGCACCGCTCCCCTCACGGCCTCGTCGCCGCCTCCGCGCCAACGTCACCGCGGCCCCACCAGCCGCCGCCGTCCGCGCCGCTCCCCTCTGCGGCTTCGTCGCCGCCTCACCTCCCTCTCCTCCGTGACCACTGCGGGTCTCCCTGCGGCCGTCCTCCATGGCTACCGCCGCACCTTCCCCCGCCCCCCTCCCTCCTCCTATTGATACGTCCTCCGTCGATAAGCTGCAGCTTGCCGCAGACAAATCCGCCGTCAATTGGCACTCCTTCGTCGGCAGCATCCGACGAGTTCTCTCCGACGCATGGGTTCCCCCCTACCGTGTCCTTGATGTCCTCCTCCGCCGTCCCCAGGCACTCCCCCCCACCGAACCTGAACACCCAGGCGAGACTCCTCCTCTCCCTCCCTCTCCCGGCGATCCTCCTCTTGAACCCGACCTCCACAGCACAGGCGACCAAGCCGCCGCTGATGCAGACTTCATCTTACGCCGCCGTGCGTACCTTATCAAGAAAGCAGAGTACGATGCAGCAGTCGAAGCCTATGACCAGGCGGTTGCTGGCCGCAACGCTCACCTCGCCGTCGTCGCCAAATACAAAGACGACATGGCCACCCACATCCCGAAACTTATCGCCTGGACAACTGCTGACACTCGTGCCTGCACCGTTCTCCTTGGGGCTCTCCCTGACTCCCTCATGCGCCGCTTCCAGGCTCGAGAGCTTCGGGCCTCGGTCATCTGGGCAGAACTCCATGCGATGTTCGAACGCCGCGACATCAGCTCGGTCGGTATCCTGTTCCAAGAATACTTCTCAATCACCCTTGCTACCTGTGACGGAGCGGTCGACTACATCGGACGCATGCGGGAGGTAGCTGACCGTCTCGAAGCCCGCCAAGCCGGCCTCTCCGAACCTCTCCAAATCCATCGCCTCCTGTTTAACCTCACTCCCGACTATGAATCCCGCCTTCACGCCTTTACCGAGGCCAATCCCCTAGCCGATCTCGCCTCCGTTGAACAGTGGATCATAGACACCGAAGTCAAACTTCGCACCCCCATCGTCAACCTCGCCTCCTCCCCACCCTCCTCCTCCTCCCTCAACGCTACTCAGCCCCGCAAGCAGGGCAAGAACAACGGCAAGGGGGGTGGTGGAGGCAAGGGAGGTAGCGGCCAAGGCAGCAGCAACGCGAACAGACGCAGCGGCACCACTGGAGACGAGCATGGCACCCCCAATACAGGCGGAGCATCTGCAACCAGTGGGACCCGCCCTGGTACTCTTCCGCCCTGCACCTATGTCCGCCGCTATGGTCCCCGGGCTGGCACCCCCTGCGGACAGACCAACCACCCTCCTGCCACCTGCTTCAAGATCCTCGATGATGCATGGTACGCACGGGGCAACGTTGGCAATCCTCCCAAGTGGGCAACACTTTCCCCACGTCCCTCCCCCACTGACATCCAAACCAACCCCGCTTATCTCCCCGCCCACCTCCGCCTCCTTGCTCACCCCGCGCCCTTCCTCAACCTCCAGCAGCAGCACCTCCTGCAGCAGCAGCAGCAGCAACAGCAGCAGCAGCAGCAGCAGCAGTTACAGCAGCTGTTTTACCCACAGCCGCAGCAGCAGCACCCATGGGGATCAGGGCCCCAGCCCCAGTGGGGACCCAGCCCTCCTCCCTGGCAGCAGCAGCAGCTAAACTTTGGCACAGCAGCCATGGCCGCCCAGGCTTCCCCGGCTCCCCTTTGGGGTGCTCCACCTCCCCCCAGTGGCACTGCCACCCCTCTCACTCAGGAAAGCTTTCTTGGCAACATTTCTGTCTCACCTTCCATGTACCCATCCAACATTAATGAAACCACGTTCCAGTACTCCGTGTCTTCCTCCTCCTCGCCCACTCTGGACTTTGTCCTAGACAGTGGGGCCACTGAAACTGCTCTCAAAGATGCTGGTACACTCACACCCCTCTCCCCTCCCACTCACGTTCACGGCGCTGACAGCAGCTTCACCATCCCATGCACACACCTCTCCACTCTCCCCTGCTCACTCTTCCCCTCTGGTAAGGTAACTGGTCTCCACATCCCCACTCTCCGAAACAACCTCCTCTCCCACCGTGAAATCCAAGATGCAGGTATCACTGCGGTCTATCCTGGTAATGCCACCTACTGTGACCTTTACCACACTGCCTCCGGCCGCTTCCTCCTCCGCATACCCCTCTGCCCCCGCACTCGCCTCTACACTCTCCGCACTCCGTGGCCATCCTCCTGTCATGTCACCACTCGTGCGGGTACCTCCACTAGCCCTCCCCATCTCCCTCCCTCCCCTCCCACTCCACCATCCTCCCACTCCTTCATCCCGCCCTCACTTGTTCCAGCCCCCTCCACCTCCGACCATCTCTCCCACCCTGCTGTTCTCCTACATCACCGACTTGGTCATCCCAATTTCGCCGCTCTCGCACTGCCGTCACCTCACGACTCCTTCACAGCCTCCCTCCCACCCTTCCTCCCCTTCCCTCCTCCCCGGCCCCCCCATGCCCCTCCTGCATCCACGGCAAACTCAAACAATCCCCTCATCACAGCCACCCCTCCTTTGCTCCTGCACCCATTGACCTTGTCCATATGGACCTCTGGGGGCCCTCTCCCACCCGCTCACGCCAAGGCCATCGCTACATGCTGGTTCTTGTTGACGATCATAGCCGCTACTCCACCGTTTTCCTCCTCCACACAAAAGATCAGGCGCCGACCATGATCATTCACTGGGCAGAACAATGCCGCACCCACTTCAAACGTCCCATCGGCCGCCTCCACTCTGATGGGGGAGGCGAATTCCTCAATCGCACTCTCTTTCACTACTGCACCACTCATGGCATCCAACAGACCCACACTCTTCCCCACTCCCCTCAGCAGAACGGCATCGCAGAAAGCCGCATCCGCGAAATCACTAAGATCGCCCGCTGTCTCCTCGCTCACGCCTCCACACCCCCTTCTCTCTGGGGCTATGCCCTCCTTCATGCTTCCCTCCTCCTCAACCTTCACTCCCATCCCCAACACACTGCCACTACCCCCACGGAGCTCTGGTCAGGGTCCAAACCTGACGCCGCTGGACTCCGTGTCTGGGGTTGCAAGGCATATGTGCTCATCCCTCCAGCTGAACGGACCCAAGGCAAGCTCGCTCCTCGTGCCCTCGAGTGTGTCTACCTTGGCCACAACCGCGACTCGCCCGGTTACCTTTTCCTCCACCCTCCCTCTGGTCGCCTCATCCGCAGCATCGACGTTGTGTTCGATGAGACCACCCCATACTACTCCTCCCCACCACCAGACCCCCTCCCTCCTCCTACACGTCCTCTCGCTTGGACCGACACTGTCCTCCCTCCCCTCCTCCCTCCAGCACCTCTTCTTCCACCCCTCCCCACCCCGCTTCCGCCACCTTCATCTGCCGATATCTACGATCCCACTGCTCCAACATCCCCTGCACACTCCGCAGCTCCCCCTCCCTCCTCTCCTTCCCACTCTCCTTATCATCCATCCCAGCAGCAGCAGCAGCAGCCGCAGGGGCAGCAGCAGCAGCAGCAGCAGCAGCAGCAGCAGCCGCAGGGGCAGCAGCAGCAGCCGCAACAGCAGCAGCAGCAGCAGCCGCAGGGGCAGCAGCAGCAGCCGCAGGGGCGGCAGCAGCAGCAGCAGCAGCAGCAGCAGCAGGGGCAGCAACAACAGCAGCGGCACCAGCAGCAGCCAGGGCAGTAGCAGCAGCCGCAGCAGCAGCAGCAGCAGCCGCAGGGGCAGCAGAACCAGGAGGGGCAGCAGCCGCAGCAGCAGCAGGGGTTCCAGCAGCACCAGCAGCAACAGCGGCGGAGGGCGACTGCCCGCTCCTCACCTTTCCTCCTCCCTCGCATGCACACCCGCTCTCTTGATCCCATCCTTGGCACTCCGCCACCTTCCTCCCTCAGCCAGCTCGAGGACTCCCATGAGGAGTTCGCCATGGTCCAGCGCCACACTCCCTCTCTTTCCACCCTCTACCCTGACCTCCTCGGCGCTCTACTCCTTAGCGCGATCTCCGCTCCCACCATCTTCGTCCCCACCACCTTCCAGGAAGCTATCACCTGCCCTGACGCTGACAAGTGGATAGCCGCTATCTTCCTGGAATGTGAGGCGTTCATCCGCAACGACTCCTTTATCGACGTTCCCCTTCCCCCTGATGCCAATCTTGTCGAGGGCAAGTGGATCTTTCGAGTCAAACAGCTGCCGGGAGAGGAACCAGTCTACAAAGCCCGCTATGTTGCTAAGGGGTTCACCCAGACCTGGGCTGAGGACTACTGGTTCACATTTGCCCCCACCCTCAGGCAAGCCACCCTACGCACCCTTATGGATATCGGTGCGCGGGACGACATGGAGATTGACTCCATGGACGTCTCCAACGCTTTCCTGCAAGGTGAACTGCACGAACGCATCTTTCTCCGCCGACCTCCCGGGTTCCATGCTACGTTCCCCGACAACACCGTCTGGCAGCTGAAGCGACCGGTCTACGGCCTGAAGCAGGCACCACGAGAATGGCATGCGAAGCTGTCTGCTACTCTCCAGTCCCTTGGCTTCTCCCCCTCCCACTCCGACGCCAGCCTCTTCATCCGCTCTTCCCCCAGTCGCTTCTTCATCTCGGTCTACGTCGATGACATGATCCTGCTCGCTGACACCAGGACTGACATGGATCAAGTGAAACGGTCTCTTCAGGAACGTCTCAAGTGCAAGGACCTTGGTCCCCTCCAGAACTACCTCGGCATGGCTATCACTCGTGATCGATCCGCCCGCACCATCACCCTCTCCCAGTCCCACTACATCGGCCAGGTCCTGGAAAAGTTCGAGATGGCACAAGCCAAACCAGTCTCCACACCCCTCCCCTTCGGTCACCAGCTTGCGCCACCCACCTCCCCCTCCACCTCCTCCCGGCCCTACGCCGAGCTTGTTGGGTCACTGATGTACGCAATGATGTGCACTCGTCCCGACCTCGCCTACCCTGTCAGCGTCCTTGCTCGATTCGTCGGCCCCGGCCGCCACACTGAGGAACACTGGACTGCCGCCAAGCGAGTCCTCCGCTATCTTCGTGGCACCAGGGACCACGCTCTCACACTGGGTGGATCTTCCCCCCCCCTTCTCTCTGGCTTCAGCGACTCCTCCTGGGCAGACTGCCAGCCAGACCGCCGCTCCTCCCAAGGCTATGGCTTCACCCTCGGCAGCGGCCTCATCAGCTGGCGCTCTACTCGCTCCTCCGCCATCGCCCTCTCCTCCTGTGAAGCTGAGCTCTATGCTGGCACCATGGCCGCGCAAGAGTCCCGCTGGCTCTGCTTCCTCCTAGCTGAGCTTGGTGTTCCCCAGCGCTGCCCCACCCTCTGGTGTGACAATGCCAGCACCATCCATCTCACCCAAGACCCCGTTTTTCACGGTCGCTCCAAGCACATTGAGCTCCGCTATTTCTTCATCCGTGAACTTGTCCAACAGAATCTCATCGCCGTTCGCAAGATCGCCGCTGAAGCCAACCTGGCAGATATCTTCACCAAAGCACTTCTTCGCCCTGCGCACTCTGCTCTTCTTCGCCTCATCGGCCTCGCTTCCCCGGGCGCGCCTTGATTCAGGGGTTGCTTCCCTCAAGCCTTTCCACATCTCTGCAGGTTAAGGGGTTGTGTTAGAATCTATCTTCTCTTGTAACCTGCATAGATGTTATAGGATAGGCTAGAGATAAGCACCCAAACTTAGTTTGGGTGTTCAAGCAGGGGTTACCCAATTTGTAGGTTGGAAACCCAACCTTGGTCCAATTATTGGACCCCAAAGGTTGGGTTGGGTAGAATTATTGGTTCACACCAATAATGTTGGCCCAACCCCAACTTGGCCAACATTATTGGACCCCACCAATAATCCCCCAACCCAACTTCATGGGTGGGGTCCAATAATGGTCACCTAGGCTAGGATCCAACCCATTCCCTATGTAAACCCCCAATCTCCTCAATTCAACAACAACTTCTCTTCCAACTTTTATTCTCACAGGTCCGCACCACACCAGTGTGCCGATCTGGTTGTGTGTGCTCTCGTGCCCGACACCCACATTGAAACGTGCAGTGTGAGTGTTAAGCGCCTCCAAAATCGCTCGAAAGTCTGAAAACATAAACGACAAATCTGCACAACACGACACGACGCAACACGACACAACACGACACGACATGACACAACACAACACGACACGATGCATTCCCTCCTCTTTGCTCTCCTGCCTTAATGCTCCCCCTCTTCCCTTCCCTCCCCCGCCTTCCCCCCGCTCCCACCCCTTCCCCCCTTCCCCCTCATGCAGTCATGGTGAGGATACATGCCAGTGTGCCAGACGTGCTCATAGGCGATCCCACCCGCGTGGGTCAAGTCATGCTGCATGACACACTTTCCCCCTCCAGTCTTTTCTACTCACTCTCCCTCCCCTTGAAACCCTCCCCCTTTGCCCTTCTCGTGCAGTCATGGTCAGGATTCATGCCAGTGTGCCAGACGTTCTCATAGGCGATCCCACCCGCGTGGGGCAGGTCATGCGCGAGCTCATCAGTGAGTGCACGCAACCCTATCGCTCTCTTGCTTACCACACTACACCACGTGCGCCGTTCTTTGATTCCACTGAGAAATAGGCTTATTGGCGGCCCACACCAATTGACTTTTGAGTCGACTCAAAAGTCATACCACACTACACCACATGCGCCGTTCTTTGATTCCACTGGAAAGTAGGCTTATTGGCGGCCCACACCAATCATGGCGAGCGCATCAGTGAGTGCAAGCATCCCTATCGCTCTCCCACACCACCTTGCTCCATGTTCACTCGATTTTCCGCCCATAGGCTGCCCCGTTCGCACAGGGCAGGTCGTACATGAGCTCACCAGTCAGTGTCTGCGGTTGAGGTCTTTCATAACTGTCTGTGCCCGCTCCTTGATTCTGCCCCTCTCCCTCGCATCAACCCGTCCAGGTCACGCCATCCGCAACACCGTGTCGGGTCGGGTAATTTTCCACTTGGTGTGTTGTGTGCCCGCTGCCCCTTCCCCTTCCCCAATTTCTCCCCACATCCACCTTCTCCAACCCACCCCACCCCACCCCACCCCATCCAGGCCACGCCATCCGCAACACCGTATCAGGCCGGGTGATTCTTCACCTCTGGTGTGTGCCCGCTCCCGTGCCTATCCAAGCCGTTGCCGAGTCTACCGAACCTGACCTGGAGGCCTGGATCCAAGGCTTGGAGGTTCGAAGAGAGGACAAAGAGATTGAAGGAGGTGTAGCAGGGGGCGTGCATGATGGTAAAGTGGCTGCTGGTGCTGCAAACGTGGATGGTTATATTGGGGACGAACGGCAAAGGGAGGAACTACTGACTCGGATGAAGAGGAGTGGCTGTGCGGAATGCTGTGGTGCTGCTGCTAGGGATGCTGGTGGTAACGATGGTTCTAATAGGGAGGGTGCTGCTGCTGCTGGTGGCATTGGCTGTTTTGGCTCGAGGCAGAGCAGCGGGCGGGAGATGGGTGGCAGGCGTGGATCATCAGATGAGTGTTGCGAAGCGAGCTTCAGATACAGCCTCTCCCAGGTACGTCAGATACTCCCTCCTTCATGTTCTTCATGCTACTAACCAGTTGGACCTTTCGCTTGCCTTTTTCCTTGCCGACCCACCCTGCCTCCCACCCACTCCCCTATCTCTCTCCCTTGCAGGATGATCCCCGATTTTCCGACTCACCTGTAGCCGGAGTCATGTGCTCCTGTACCCAACCGCACTCCAGTCAACCTGGTCAACCCAGTCAATCCACACGTGCCACGGGAGCTCACCCAGCAGACCATGACCTCAGGCACGGCAACGAGCCTGACTCGTTCCCCGAGCCTGAGCCCTGGATGCTTCACCCGCCCATCCCTCACCCCCTCACCGCCGAGGCTTGCCGCGAGGTTCGGCGGACGGTGGCTCGGTTCCACCAACCCATGATCTTTGCTTCGGCTATTGCAGAGACCGACGAGGAAGAGGAGGAGGAGGAAGGCGGAAGGAGAGGGGGAGGCGGGGGAGGTGGGGGAGGGGGGGGGGCCGGGGGAAGGGGGGGAACTGGGGGAACAGGGCGGAGAAGCGAGGAGGGGCAGGGGAGGAGGAGGAGGGGGAGGAGGAGGGGCGTGGGGCGAGTGCAGCTGGTGATGGCTTGTGAGGATACGGGGTGTGGCATTCCCTGGGAGGAGATGCGTTGGGTGCTGGACCCTGAAGGCCATGGGGAGTTTGTGCAAGAGGAGGAGGTGAGTGGGTTGCTGCTGGGTGGTTGCTGCTCTGCTGCTCTGGGGGCGCTGGTGTGGGCTTGCTTGCTGCTATAGGGGCGCTGTTGTGAGATTCCGTGGGAGGAGATGTGGTGGGTGCTGGACCCTGAAGGCCATGGGGAGTTTGTGCGAGAGGAGGAGGTGAGTGGCAGAATTGGCTCTTGAAACGTCAAAAGAGCCCATGCTGTCTCATCACACCTCCATAACCTCCCCTGTTCTTTAAATTTCATGCTTCTCTCCTCCCCGGTTCCCCCTTTCCCCCTGTCACATAAATCCAGAATCAGGCACCTCAAATTTCCTCTCCCCCACCCTTGATTCCCCTCCTCCCTTTCCCCTTCCTCCGTTGTCTCTGTCTCAGATGAACGCATACATTCAGTCAGCCGGTGCCGGCAGCAGCACCAGCGCCAGCGCCAACACACATACACCCAATGACAACGCCCCCGCCCCCACCACGCTCTCTCTCCTGAGCTCCCTCCCTGGAAGGCTGCTCAAGAGAGTGATGGGCACAGGGGGCGGTGACAGTGCGCTGGGGAAATCACACGGAGGAAAGGGGTTTCAGGACGCATGGACGCCGTACCCTGTGCGCTTCCTGCTGTCTGCGAGTCTGGTAAGTGCTGGGTGTGCGGGATGGGCAAGACAAGGGGGTGTGTGGGAAGAGTGAGGGTGTATGGGAAGAGTGAGGGTGTATGGGCGTGGCCACTCAGTCGTCGAGTTTCATCTCTCTCCATCTGATTCACTCACCCATCAACCCGTTTTTGAGTCGACTCAAAAACTGGGTGTGGCCACTCAGTCGTCAAGTTTCATCTCTCCCCGTCTGATTCCCTTACCCCTCAACCCCCCACCACCCTTCCCCCCTACCCCCCCTTCTCTTTTTCTGCTCTCTCTTGGCCTAGGTGTGCGTGATGAGCAGGAGCATGAGCGCGGCCGCATATGCACTTAATTCACTCATCCCCTCACTTCACACCCCTTCCCCTCCCCCCCCTCCCCCCCCCGGCCCCCCTACCCCCCCTTCCCTTCTCTTTCTGCTCTCTCCTAACTCAGGTGAGTCTGATGCGCGGGTGCATGGGAGTGGCAACCCAGGAGCACGTGGGCTCTAACATCATGGTCGCCCTGCCAATGAAAACGCGCCACGTGGCACCACCCACAGCAGCAGCAGAGGACGGGGAGGCCAAGGAAGGGGAGGAGGAAGGAGAGGAGGGAGAGGAGGAAGGAGAGGAGGGAGAGAAGGGAAACTGGGAGGGGGTGGAGGAGGAGGGGATGGAGGAAGCTATGGCTTGGGTGGAGATGAAGTGGAGCACGCGGGAGGTGGTGGAGGGGAAGAGAGCGCTGGTGGTGGATGGGGATGGTGTCAGGGCCGAGGCCACAGTCACAGCTCTCCGGTACCTGGGTGTGCATGCTGCTGTTGCAGGCACGCAGGAGGAAGCCACGAGGAGGATTCTGGGAAGGCAGCCGGAAGCTGCGTGGCGGTTTGCGGAGAAGAGGATGGGGGAGGCGAGGAGGAGGGCGAAGAGAGGAAAGGGGAAGGGGGAGGGAGCGGGGGAAGGAGGGGGGGAGAAAGTGGGGGAGGGAAGGGGAGAAGCAGAGGCGAAGGGTGAGGAAGTGGGGGTGAGCAGGAAGAGCGAGGAGGAAGAGAAGGAGGAACAGGAAGAGCAGGCAGAACGGGCTGAACAGGCGGAGCAGAAGGAGCAGAAGCAGCAGGAGGAGCAGAAGGAGCAGAAGGAACAGGAGGAGCAGGAGGAGCAGGTAGAAGAGGAAGAGGAGGAGATAGAGGGACCATGGGACGTTGTATTTGTTGAAGCAGATGCGTTCAGCAGCGGTGGAAACCCCAAGCCAAGGATCAGCAGCACGGATGCTGGCGCTCCTTGCAAGCCTGCGAACGGCTCAGATGCTGCGGCGAGCAAGTCCGGGATCAATTTCGGCCGTCGGATCAAGTTTGACCACCGCAGCCTCGTGCTCTTTCACTCCGCCAGCGCCGCTGCTCGTGCTCCCAACTCCCCACCCTCGCCTGCCTTACTCCCTCACACCGCCGCGGGCATATCTCTTGCACCAGACAGTGTTGTCACAGGATCAGCGTTGTCTGCAGCAGCAGCAGCAGCAGCAGCACCACCACCACCACAATTACCACCATCACCAGCATCACCGTTACCATCGCCGCCACTATCACCCTCACGGTCACCGCCTGTGCCGTGCAGTCTGCCCCCGCTGGTGCTCACAGGGCCGGGCTGTGCCAGTGTGAGCTACGCCAGAGCACTCGCAGCTGGCTTTGCCGACACTCTCCCCCAACCATGTCTCGTGGCCGACCTCGCTCAGTGCCTGCATGCGGTGAGTCCCTCCGCTGATTGATGCACTGAGTGCCGCCACCAACATGGGTGCCGTGCAGTCTGCTGGATGAGTCGATTTTTAAGTCGACTTAAAAATCGACTCCTCACAGGGCCGGGCTGGTCCATTGATTGATACACCACGAGCGCCGTGCGATTCCCCCCAACGCTAGCCACGAGCTTCTGTGGTTGTATACTGTCAGTTTGCATTCCATTCCTCCTCTCACCAACCCTCCTTTATCCGCCTCTCCTCTCCTCTCCTCTTCCCCACTTGCCAATTTTTCAGCTCTTTGCACCCATCGACCAATCAGACGACCTCTCTGACACCTCCACCAATCACGTCGCGCCAGCCGACCCCTCCTCCGCCTCCTCCCTCGCCCCCTCAACTCCCCCGCGTCCCAAATCCCCACAATTCCGCCCCAAGTCCCCGCAATTCCGCTCCAAAGCCGCGCTCGGCCTCGCCAAGCCCGAGGACGCCGCCGCTTTGCTAAAAGAGATGCTTAGCGGGCGGGAGGTGATGGTGGTGGATGACAACGCGGTGAACCGCATGGTTGCAAGAAAGACTCTGCAGGGGCTGGGGGCGAAGGTGGAGCTTGTGGAGAGTGGAGAGAAGGCTTTGGAAAGACTAAGCTCCCCGAATGCGTTTTCTATTCTTCTGATCGACCTGCACATGCCCCCGGGCATTGATGGGTAAGGATTGAATCACACCTATGAGACTGCACACCGTATTAGTGCCCAGTTCCTGCCTTTTACTGCATGATAACTAACTGATTCGATTAGACAAGCCTTGAACCTTCTCCTTCCCTTTGCCCACCGCCCCTGTGACCCACAGCTACGAGACTGCTCGACGCATTCGCACCCAGTTCCCTGCAGAGATTGCTGCACCTGCTACTGCAACCACCACCGCCACCACGAGCACGAGCACCACCAGCAGCAGCAGCGGCGGGAGCGGTGGCAGCGGCAGCACCACTGTCACCTCCTCCTCGTCCACTCTCTCCTCCCTGCCGAAGCTGCAATCGCAGCCGTCGTTTGCGTTCCACCCCGGCGGCCTGCCGTTGCTGGATCTAGACGCCCCAGGAGAAGCTGACACCACAGCATCTGCAACAGCAGGAACCGCAGCAACAGCGGCACCACAAGCAGCAGCAGGAGTCGCAGTAGCAGGAGTCGCAGTAGCAGGAGCAGCAGTACCAGCAGCAGCAGCAGCGGTAGCAGAGGCACCTGGTCCCGCACGCAGGCAGCTGATATTCGCACTGACTGCAGACGTGGACACGCGGGTTCGGCAAGCATGCAAGGAGGCGGGCATGGACGGCACTCTCTCGAAACCCATCGCCCACCAAGAGCTGCTTTCGGCAATCAAAGCTGCCGGGGTCACTCAGCTGTGAGCCTTGGAAGCAATCTGAGGCGCCTCAGGCGTGCAAGGAGGCGGGCATGGACGGCACTCTCTTCAAACCCATCGCCCACCAAGAACTGCTTTCGACGATCAAAGCAGCCGGGGTTGCACTACTGTGATCCATTGAAGCTGTGGGTTTTGTGCTGTGCTGCTATGAACTGACCCTTTTTCAGGCATCAGCTATCGACTAACTCATTACAGGCATGGAGGAGGCACATGGTAATAAGGAAGCACACGTGCGAAGAAGCAGGCACGGACGGTGCTGCTTCAACCTCATCTTGTGCCACGAGCTGCTGTTAACCATTTGTGAGGCGCCTTTAATCTGAAGTCGCTCCAACCTCATTTAAATCCAGTATCTTCTCTACACCACCGGAAATCCAAGGGTTTGCATTTCACGAGAAAACATCCACTGATTATGATATTGAGGCGTAGAAGGGCATGCATTCGGGGAGGCAGGAATACAACAAGGCAGGTGTAGCATTATTGTGAAAAGCAGCAGATGGCCCTCAGTCTCTAATCCCGTTGTAAAAGCCATCGAGTGCTATTCGGGCTGCTGTGGTCTGACGACACCCTGATGAATTCGTGGCACACCAACAGCACTCATACATGGGCCTGCGCGATACCCAATGATAATACCCACTCTGCGTCATTCAATTATAGTTGTTATTTCATTTTTTGTACCAACTCTAGTGCTTGAACAATCAACGTCCACGCTAGGGAAAAGAAAAATGGTGCTGGTTCTGTAGTTGCTTGCAGAATTTGAAACAGTAATTTGAAATCTATAGGGCGTGTTGCACCAGTCTAAAAGGGTTCTATTTGGCCGCGTAACGTTCTTCCTTACTGTACACCCTCCATCTTTCGCCCAATCATCGCGTTTCGCTTCAACGAGGCTTGTCCCCACCCCATTGGTCCCAGAAATTGTCCCGAACTTCATGTACAGTTCTGGTGTTTTCTGCACCTGACACGGATGGCGAGCGGATGGTCCCACGTGATAAACAGCCTCGCCCGTTAGCCTCGCAGAACAGTACACAAGTCAGTCTCACCCTTCGGTCTCATGGTTAAAACCAGAGCTGCTGAGTTTATTTAAAGGGCAGGTTTGCGCAGAGATGAGCCAAATTACGGGAGGTTCTGGTTCCTAAACACTTCGCTCTGATGTTAGTCAATTAGGTAACAACAGAAACAAGATGCTTAGGGAACAACAATATAGCGAGGGGAACTTTTCAACATTCAAATGCAACGAACGAGCATGCCGAATTGGTTGGTGCAGCGCATGAGATTGTGATCATTGCATCCCACATGAATGCGCACGACGACGAGCAATGCCATTTGGCTGCGGCGTTGCTTCGTCTAGCATGCGCAAACAACACATCGTCCTTTCGAGCTGTTCCGCGGTTGTGTGTGATGTGATGGGGTTTTTAGTTAATCCCGCACTGTTACTGAAAATATACGAAAAAAGCGCAGCATTGTCGCTTCTGGCGCACTGTTAGTGCCCAGTTTTCGATCACAGCGCATAGTTAGTGAGATTTCTACGCAGTAAAGATTTCATTGGTCAAAATGTTGACGGACCGACAACTCCGGTTGGATTGACGGCCATCGAACTGTTTGCACCTGAATTTTGGGCAGACGAAAATATATTACCCTCTCGGATGGCATGCTGTTCAGGGAGCATCAACCCTAAACACCGGGCGGGGTGTTTAGGGAGCATCAACCCTAAACACCGGGCGGAAGTGTTTAGGGAGCATCAACCCTAAACATTGGCCGAAAGTGTTCAGGGCTGATTCCCTTTGTCACGATTTTTATATATATAAATATATAAATATATTTTAATGGGGCCGTCGAGGGAGCATCAACCCTAAACTCCACGCGACTGGATGTTTAGGATTGATGCACTCTCTATATGGGCGTGAAAATTTTGAAACACCTGACTGAGTTAAATAAATTTTCTGTTACATTGCAGGCTTGTCGTTTTCGGATATTTAGACGAATGAGCGTCGAGCTGCGTAGAAATCGCACAAACTCTGCGCTGTAAACGAAAAACGGGCAGTAACCCTGCCCCAGAAGCGATGAAACTGCGCATTTGGCGTGCAGTTTCGAAAACCGTGCGTTGTCAACTGAAAACCCGATGTGATGTGATGGGCTTCAATTCGGATCGGATCACATCAGAGCGGTTCTTGTTTTCTTCACCAAAGCAAGGACAACACAGCAAGGACGCGCAGCGGCGGCGGGACTTGGTTTTCTGTTTTCCCCCGCGGCTGTTGCATCTTTACTCCCAAGCCTTTTCTTGCTGGACGCGTCTACCTCCCCGTAGATCCATGGCCGCGACTCAACTTGGTAATGCTGCGAAAGACGCCCGTCGAGGAAAATCGTTTTCGCGATGTAGTATACCTTCCTCTGATAATGTTGCAGCGGCTGTAGTTTCGCGGACATTGTATGATATCCAAACCTCAGAAAACGTTATGAGTTACGGCGGCGTTGCTCCGGCGATTGCTCCGGCGACGGCAGAGCTCGATAGCTCGCAGGCGTCGAACATGACGATCATGGGCGCATCAGCCGCGATGGCGACGACTCCCACTCGTTGCGACGAAGCGCCCTCTGCGAGGCTGGCTTGTTTAGAGGCGCAGAAGGCGTGCAGCCCTGTCTGGATCGACAACGCGCGCTCGAGAATACGGCAAGCGGCTTTGGCGGTGCTGGAGACGCAACAACAGTCTCAGCACCTCGCCTCGATCGTGAACGACCATATGGTGTTGGACGGACCCGAGCCGCGCTGGACTGAGCCTGAGTGGAGCATGGAAAACGAAGACTACTCAATGCCAGCGTTTTATGTAGAAGAGGATATTGACGATGAGGACTCACCGACGTTGGAGCCATTGGAGGGACGCGTTATTCGGCCTTCTGAATCGCTTCGTGGAGCTATTGTGAACTTTGTGAAGAGCTCTCTTCATTTAGTAATGTAGTGATGTCTAGAAAGATAGGCATTACAGAGAGGTTAGTACACCACTCCCTGTGTATATATACATAGATATGAAACAAACATTTACTGAATGAAGAGCGAAACAGCGTTTCTGTGTTGGGCCAGAAAATTGAGCGGCCTGCTTAGTATATATATTACTAAAAGCGGACTATCTGTGGAAGCTGAACCCACAAACCGGATATATCGAGAACGTCTGATGTCGATGATGAAGTCACAGGTGTATCGCACGTACAAGTCGGAAATAAAGCCCAACACTCCTTGAAATTGTCGTAGCCGTCGGATAGGAACGACCAATACAGATGTTTTGTTACGACACGTGCTGCTGTGACTATATCGCACGCCCCTGGATCTAGCCCCATTTATGGCATTTTGGTCACAATGGCCTCGCTTTGGTGTCGAAGCGTACACGTATGTGTCCATCCGGAATGCGCGACTCGAAATCACAAAACGAATCGCGCATTTCATGCTTCCCCTCACACCATCTTGTTGGTCACTGCATTCGATCCCTGTCACGACTCGCAGAATACCTTGATTCCCGGCGACTCCGTCATCGCTGAACCCAATCCAACTGCTCGGTTGTAATGCTCCCGTCGTCGTCAACCCTACATACATCCAACGATGGGGCTAAGGACAGAGAACCAACCACCAGGTGACAAGACGAAGACCACAGCACGGCGCAGCACAGCACCCTTCAGCCGGAATGAAGGAGACGGCTCTCGTCGCATTGAGCGAGGCCGACAGTACGAAGCGGCTTTCTCATATCCGCTTGTTCGCTTCCTCCCGTCCTTCGCTTCAGCAGCGCTCGTCGTCACATCACATCCCCCCTCAAGAGGCAATAACCAATGCACAATCGGTTCCTCTTCAGACTAGTCACAATAACGGAGCGCCTTCTCCGCGGCGTAAGAGAACACTCGTTTAGGAGAACCAGGGTAGGAATGCTCTGCCCCACGCGGATAGGGCCAGGGAGAAAACAGATAGCCCTGCGCCTGCACTACGGCGCAGCGGTGCCGAACGAGTAGGGGGAGTGAATAAGACGCATGTGCATGGGATGAAAGTCCGGGCAACCAAGGGCGCCAGTCTTTCATGTGTATGCCAGGCCTGGGGTGGCAGTTACTCGTTAGTTGACGCAGCCGCAGTTTCGGAGGTGGACCAGGAGTAAGGCCTAGACAAACGTCTTAGCTCCCAGAAACGCTGGTCGGAGACAGCGTGGAATCGCGTGTTCAGACACTAGCGGTTTCGTCTCGGCAGTCTCGTCGTGTCGGCAGGAGTCAGTGCTGCTGTCGGTGACCAGCCGCAACTATCTTTAGGCGACTCACCTTGTCTCGACCCATAAGTCGACTAGCATTGTAACAACAGGGGGCACTGACAGACAGGTCTACTGCTAACGGTAACACAGCTAGAGACCTGCTGCGTTTGATGACGATCCAGTAAAACGTATAGTCTGTTTGTTCTTCCCGGCAGGGTCGCACTGCTAGCGCCTGTTCTCGAATTGGCCGACAGCACAAGCGCGGCTTCATTGGCCACACATACATAGGCTCGAAAATAAAAGTAGGACATTAGCCATTACTATTTTAAAAAGGCTGCACTCCAAAATGGCGGCGCCGAAGCGACTCGTACTGTCGTTGCTGCTGCTACTTGTGTTCGCGTCGGCATGTCCACAGCCCGCGTCAGCCAAACTACGCGACAGAATCCGCAAGTGGATCGGGAGGGGGTCTCCCGCGCCTCCCGGCGGGCCGTCGAGCAAATCGGGGCCAATCTCGATGGACAAAGTCAAGGAAGTCGCGAAAGTCGTCAAGCTACTCGCGCAGAACAAGGAGTTCGTGCGACTGTTTTGGAAAGGAGGTGAGTGCGCCGAAACTGGCGCTTCGATAGAACTAGTTGTGTTTGCCGGGCCAATCTCCATGGACAAAGTCAAGGAAGTCGCGAAAGTCGTCAAGCTACTCGCGCAGAACAAGGAGTTTGTGCGGCTGTTTTGGAAAGGAGGTGAGTTTGCGAAACAGGCGCTCCGATAGGAACGAGCTGTGTTTGCCGAAACAGGGTCCTCGATGGAAAAGGTTCAGAAAGTCCTGAACGCCGTGTTGTTCAGTAAGACCTACAACCTACTTCCGGGACTAAACAACGAGTTTGTGCGACTGTTGTGGCGCCCCATGAAGTGGTTATTGGATGCGCGGGAACAGCAGCCCAACAGGCCACCCCTTCACCTTGTCTCTGCTCCCTCCCCTTTCGCCTTTTATCCTTCCCCTCCCCCTCTCTCCGTCCCTCTTCTTCCCCGCACCCCCTTTTTCCCCCGTTCTCCTACATCCCTTGTAACCCCATTCCACCAATCTATACGCGAATGCGTCTTACGCGAACTCAAGACGTCGCGGATTTGCTGCTGCGCGCGCTGCGGCGGTCGAACGAGGTGACGCTGCTGGCGCCGTCGCCCGACGCGACGAAGGCGGAGCTGCCGGACGACTCGCCATTGGTGAAGAGCAAGAAGAGCATGCGCCGCCTCCTGCGCTACTGCCTCGTGCTGGGCCGCCTCGTCACCTACACCAACCTCGTTGAAGATCCCGCGGGGACCAAGGTTCGTTTCGCGAAAATCGAGCAGGTTTCGGTAACTCTTCGCGAAGTCAAGGTACGATTTCGCGTAGGTTAGCGGTACATTGAAAGGCTCTCCCGAAGGGGACGCGACGAAGGCGGAGCTGCCGGACGACTCGCCATTGGTGGAGAGCAAGAAGATAGGCGGCGGTAGAAGGCGGTTTTTGAGTGGACTCGACCTAGGCGACGAAGGCGGAGCTGCCGGACGACTCGCCATTGGTGAAGAGCAAGAAGAGCATGCGCCGCCTCCTGCGCTACTGCCTCGTCCTGGGCTCGTCACCTACACCAACCTTGTCGAAGACGCGGCGGGAACCAAGGTACCTTTCGCAAAAAACGTAGTTGTCTGGTAACCCTTTCGCGTATCGCTACTGCCTCGTCTTGGGCCGCCTCGTCACCTACACCAACCTCGTTGAAGACCCCGCGGGAACCAAGGTACCTTTCGCAATAAACGTGATTGTCTGGTAACCCTTTCGCGTATCGCTACTGCCTCGTCTTGGGCCGCCTCGTCACCTACACCAACCTCGTCGAAGATCCCGCAGGGACCAAGGTACCTTTCGCAAAAAACGTAGTTGTCTGGTAACCCTTTCGCGTATCGCTACTGCCTCGTCTTGGCCGCCTCGTCAGCTACACCAACCTCGTTGACCTGCGGGAACCGAGGTAGCTTTCGCTAAAACTAGGCAGGTTGCGGTAACTCTTCGCAAAGCAGAAGTGCGTTTTCGCGCAGTATATCGTGCATTGAAAGGCTTCGGAGCTGATAACGTCTCGTGAAATCGGGGTATATGCCTTTTGTGTTTCCGCTGTCATTTTTCACTCACTGTTGTGGCTCTTTGTTTCCTTCCGGTTTTGTCCCCGCTGTAACTCCATCCAGTATCCGACAATGTACGGGCAGCCCCAGGTCAAATCAGCGGAAAGCTCTTTTTTTACGGTGTATTTCCAAACGCCCTCGGGAAAAGAGAACAGCACGCTAGTAGCCCCCAACCTGTTCGAGGGGAAGTTTCTCCAGGTGCACCTTGTATCGGATGTGCTTGTACCGGATGGGTTTTTCGGCTCCCCGTCACCCCCGCCGGAGGAAGACGATCCGTCCGATGGCTCGCCGCCGGCGGAAACGGGCAGTGCGGGCGCGGCGTCTACTCCCCCCGCTCCTCCTCCGCCCGCGTTCACGGGGATGACGCCCCGCACACCATGAGTACGTCGTCTCTCCGCTGGCGCCTTCTTTTTCCCCATTCTCCCCCCTCGCTCCCCTCCCCTCTCTTCCCCCGCCGCCCGAGTTCACGGGCATGACGCCCCGCACACCATGAGTACGTCGCCTCTCCGCTGCCGCCATTCACTCCCTGTTGCCCCCATTCCTCTCTCTTCCCTTCAACCCCTCCCCATTTCCCCCCCTCCCCTTCCCTTACCCCTTCTTCCCCTTCCCCCTCCCCTCCCCCTCCCCCTCCCCCTTTCTCACCCCCGTGTCATTTCTCCTGTGCCGTTTTTCCTGTGACCCCTCACTCTACACGGCGTTTCCATCTTTTCCTTGCTCCTCTGTTAAATCCGTTTATCCTACCTCTGCCTCCCCGTCCCTAACCCCCTTAATCTTGCCGCGACCTTGTATCCCCTCCTGTCCGCTCCCACAACAGGAAGTGGTGAGACTTTTAGGGCGGCGAACTCAACCCGTTACTTTCAGATCCCTAATATGCGCACAGACTTCAGAGCCTAACGGGCCTCACTTCCGTTAATGATGTGACCACCAATAGAAGGTCTGATGGATAGAGCTTGCTAAGATATAGACGAATAAAGAGAAGTTACACCATCGTTACAGCGTTGTTGCAGCGTTTTTTTAAACTGTAGGCCGAGTACCGCACTTGAAAGGAGTGGATGTACTAGAACCTTTTAATGACACATTGTTGTTAGGCCTTGATATGCAGATTTTGTAATGGCTTGAATAGCATTGGCATTTTACTTCATATTCACAATGGTACCATTTTACTAAGTTATCATAGACATTTCGCTTGACATTTTGGCTTGCTTCTCTCATTAGCTAGCAAAATATACAATAGAGAGAAGAATCTATTTCAGCAAGGCCCACTGCCGCCCTCTCAGCCTCCTACCATTCATCTCCCTCCGCCTCAACTCGCCCATCACATTCATCCCCTCCATCCCCTTTACAAGCTGCTCCACTTCAAGGCAAGACGGCCTGTGGGCAGGGTTACGCTCAGTACACCACTGCACCAGCGTTGATGCTTGGTGGTACCTCACTGGACCAAACCGGGCCGCTATGTGACCAAGAGAAGGGTCTTCAGAGGATGAAGTCTCTACAGGGGGTGAGCTCTGCAGGGTGCGTGTCCTGCTTGACTCCCCACCTGCGCCTGCTGCTTCTGCTGTCTCTGCTGGTGCTGCCCCTACTGGTGCTGCTGGTGCTGCTGCTGGTGCTGCCGACCCTGGTGCAACAGTGTCGGGCTGTGGTTCGGCTGGAGACGCATGTGGTCCGGGAAAAGACCGAGACACAGGGAAGGCCCTTGTTGCAGCGGCAGTGGTGGCGGCGGCAGCAGCAGCAGCGGCTGTTGCAGATGAGCTATCCGACACTCTTGCTGATGTGTTCCGAGGGAGTCTTGTGATTGGCCGAATGGTTTCCTTTCCAGCAGATCCTGCTCTCAATATAAGCTCCCTCATTATCACGCCGAGAGCGTACACGTCGCTAGCAGTGCCGTAGCGGCCTGATCCCATAAATGCAGGGTCCAGGTATTTAGCATCACCAAACACAACACATCCGAGGCTCTTCCCTGCTAAACCTGGCCCATCCCGAGCCTGGCCGGGCAGGCCATAATCAGCCAGCTGCACCCGGACCTGCGCAGCAGCCTCGGCGCGAGCCTTTTGCCGAAGCATGTGGCGCCACAACCGCTGCTCTTGCTCCGAAAGGTGGCTCGGCGGCGGCTGGGGGGTGCAACGGTGTGTAGTAGCCCCCAAAAGGAGCAGAAGCACGTTGGCGGGACGGAGGGAGGCATGCAGGAAGCTGTGGGCATGCAGGTGGGCCAGCCCTCCTGCGATTTGGCGAGCGACGGAGAGACGGGCGGACCAGGAGGAGAGAACAGAGTTGGACCCGGCTCCACACAGCATTGCGTCTGTGGAGAGAGAAGAGTAGGGAAGGAGAGGAGAGGGAGGAACAGTTTAGTGCGGTTGAATGGGGTACCAAACAAGTCTAGCTTGGTGTTTGGCATGGTTGAAACTCAGCAAAAAAAAAAACAAACACAAAACAGAAAAAAGGAAGCAAACATTGAACGGATTTTACCTCTTGCGAGGGCGTATTCGAGGGAGCGGGCGGAGGGTTGGGAGCGGAAGACCAGCAGCAGCTCCTCTTCACAGCTGAAGCCAACGATCGGCAGCAGGCTCGGGTGCGACGCTGCTGCCTCTGCCAGCCGCCCCATCATCTCCCTCCCGGCAGAGACTGGGGAATCCACCTCTACACCGCTCTGCACCGCTCCAGAGCTCTGCGCCTCTGCAGAGCTCTGCCCCTCCTCGGGCGTATGAGACGGTATGCTATCAGACGCTGTTGGTCCCTGGACGTTGCTTGTGCTTCCGCTGCCTGTCGCGTCGGCAGCTGCTGACGTGGACGGTGGGGGAGGCAGCGAGGAAGGCAGGTGCCGCCAGCGCTTCACCCGCGCGCAGCCGCCCCTTAGATTCACGCACTTGGTGGCGGAGAGCTCTTGACACGTGGCACAGCAGCACAGGTCGGCTGGAGATTGGGCGCGTTTCGTCGAATTACGTGGAGCCTCCCTGCCAGACGCGTCTATGTGGAGACCTTCACCGCTGGGCTGCCCTCCCACGTGGCCCTTGCCCACGTGGCAGCACCCGCGGTACACGGCGCCCGCCCAGTCCATTGCCAGCATGGCATCGGGGCCGAAGCCACGTGTGCAGGCCGCCAGCTCACGCAGAGAGAACTCCACGGCCGGCAGGGGGAACTTGAGACTCTCAGGCGAAAGAGAGGATTCTGGCGGATTTTCCGGTTGTGGCGGGGATGGGGGTCTCGCGGTTTCAGCCCCATCGAGGGCTCCTGTCGCCGTGGAGGCGGAAGCGGATAAGGGGGCCTCAGCGGAGGATTCGTTGCGCTGAGTGGGCGATTCGCGCGGGGAGAACTCGCGGGGCGAGCGCGCGTCGGTTTCGGCAGCCATGGCGTCCGAGTCGGCTGTGGGATGGTGATGGTGGTGATGCCGCTGGTGGTGGCGTTGCTGGTGGCGGCGGTGCTGCTGTTCGCAAGAGAGCGACTCGAAGACGATCATCGGAAGGTCTTCGGTTGAGGAGGATTTGCGATCATGCCACGTGGTTGATGCCCACTGGACGAGGCCTGGAAGAGCGGAGAGGGGAAAAGGAAAAAGATTGGTATTTCACAGACCAACGAATAAATTTGCCGGATTCGCGAAATTCGTCATTGTTTTTTCGGGTTAGGGTCTCCAAACTTTGGGTTCTTTGAAAGAAATAAAATTTGTGTTCTGGTTCATGCCATGGCGTACCCGTTATGAAATTCATGTAGTTGCGCGCTTTTCTACAGAGGCTTCGAATCTTTGCACCCTTCGCGACGCCCTTGCGCCGCGGCGCCGCCACATCAGCCTCAGCGACTAACACGCAGGCCACGCCGCTCTGCGATATCCGGCGCGTGCTCATGGAGGCTCGTCACGTGCCCGTGAGTCACGCTTCTGGCTAAGCACAAGGCTCCGAGATGTAGAGATGTATCGCACGCTCTTCCAGCGAGAAGAATCAGCTGATTCTAGTAGGGTATTACTAGTAGCAGGTAGGCGGAGTACTCAGCGTCACTTTGCACGATGCTAATTAGAGACATGCGATAGCGTTTATGTATTCGAGTTTCGAATGCTGACAGAACCTCATAGGGTAGGTCAGACCGCTATTCCAGCTAACTGGCCCAAATCGGACCAGGCCTGCCGCAATGAGTACAGCTGAGCTTTCTTGAGAAAGAAGATATTGCCGGCGCGGTGAGCGTTGCGATTGAGTTGACGGATATTGAGTACAACCACGAGCCTGATAGCGATCACCAGTAATCGCTACAGTTGTAAAACTAACAGTGATGAACGTGACGGGCTTACTGCAGGAGCAGCAGGGAACTGACGGACAGTCACGCTCTGCTCACGTGTTATTTGCAGCAGCACTTGTGTTTCTTTTCCAGGCCAGTGGTGCGCGGTTCGCGCGTGTCGCCCCTCTCCGGAGAAAAAACGGATCCTCTGCTTGGTCGTTCGACCAGCTCACATGCTGCCCACGGAAATCTCACGGCGTACGAAATGGGAACGCCAACATTGATAAGGAAAGGAGGGATTGTACGAAATCGATCGCGATTCGCCTGTCAAGACGAGCCGCATTTACGTGTCGTGTACAGTACACCACAAATTGGTCTGGGAAGAGCAGGCTCAGCTCAGCCCGTCATCATCAACGCGCGGGCGAAGCCACAGAACAGAATTCAAACCAGCTGGCGCCGAGGAAAGAAAGTGAGGTTGGACGTGTTTGCAGGGATCCCGAGACCGCAGCCGTCCAGTCTCGGCTTTCCCGGCTACCGGCATGCTGGCAGTTACCCTTCGGTCGGCTCCCGACTGACGGCTTGACGTTTGTTTACAGCCGGTGACAGCAGGAACACAGGCTACAGTGACGTGGCATATTTTTCCATGAAAGTCTAGACAAGGAAGGCAAAATGCTGGGGACATAACACGGTATTGAGAGTTTGAGAACGTCAAACATCTGTATGCTGCGGTTCTTAGGACCCAGATGGTCATTCCGCTTTTCCGAACCACTTTCATGCCTTACCAAGCGTATCCCCCGAAGCTAGATAAGCGCCGGTTAGGCAAGAGCGCTGAGATGTTCAGCATGTCATGATGACTTGCCGGCGGTTTGAATGGAGGACAAAAGTGGAAGTTTCTTAGAATCTCACATGAGGGGGACGTCAAACGGAGGTTGTTCATGCATTGGCGTTCCGTGACATCCTCAGCAATTTTACGAAGGCAGTGCCAGTCAAGATCTTATTATCAAATATGTACACTTCCAGTTGTGCAATTCAGGTTTTGCCTTACAAATCAAGAGAAAATACACACATTGTACCAGCCAAATAAGGTGTTCAAGGGGGTGTTCTATGCTGGTAGCGGAGCACGTAGGCCAAGATTGCTAATCTTGCACACTTGGCGTTTTCTTTGCCCTCTATTGGCAAAAAAATCTGGTTTGGGCAGGTGCGAAGCAATTTGATCAGTCGAGGCAACACCCTGCATAACTTCCTAGTTTCTCAACTCTGAAATTTAGGACCCACTGTCCCCTACATGCTGCTTCAACTCACGACCCAAGATCGAATTTCCATTCTCAAATATACGTCAAACCATATGCCAAACAGAGCTTTCCCCTAACAGCATCAATGCTAAGCCTTGTAGTGTCAAGCACCACCTGGTTTCGCTACAGTAACCTTATCATCCTCAACGAAAACATGCTTGAGTGCTTCATAGCACATGAACGAAATCCCTGCAGCAGGCATTAGCTTGACGCACGACGGCACGAGTCCCCTGTAGAGCCCTTGAATCCCCTGCTCCTGCACGATCCTCTGAATGCAGTCCAGTGTTCCCTTGTACACAACACGGCCCTTGAGTGCACCGACTTGCATCTGCAAGTGTAAGAAGGGGAACAAGAAGGGGGTTGACATGTTGGAGGAAGCTGATACAGGCAAAGCACTACGGAAAAGATAAATAACACACCACAGGCGTTATCATGACCAGATCTAAGCACGCGACGCAAGAACCTACTTGCACACCTCTTTAAGTCGAAATGTAGGAGAGGCGGCAGCACTGGCAGAACTGGCAGCACTGGCAGCACCATCAAATCTAACAGCAGCACCGAGAGGCTACTCCCGGCCAGCACACCTCCTCACGAGAGCACACCTCCTCCCCCCTCCCCTCCCACACACTTCCGAGTCGTAAGGCGGTTGGAGCCGGAAAGCAGCACGATGCCTAGCAGGCTGGCCCCTATCTCCCCTGAAGCTTGTGAGTGCCCCATAAAATCAACCGCTCCCAACAACATCAACCACTGCCCCAAACCACGCAAAGAGCAAACATCACACCTGTTTGCGTGCGACTTCCAAGGGGGACGTGGCCGAGGCAGCAGCAGCACCCGCAAGCGACCCGATTACAAGTGTTGCTAGCGGCTCAATCTTGTTTCTCCTTGATTACAAGTGTTGCTAGCGGCTCGATCTTGTTTCTCCTTGATTACAAGTGTTGCTTCTTGTAGTGCGTGCGCAGCATGTCCTATGCAAAGTAGTTGGAGCTGGCATATGAGCCGATTCAAAAGTCACCTGGCATGCGGCACGATGCCTATGAGGCTGGAGCCCAGCCCCCTGTAGAGCTCGTGCACGCCCTCCCAACAGGTTCACCCACACACCAAACCACCCAGAGAGAATGCACACCTGCTTGCGAGCCACTTCCAAGGGGAACATAGCAGATGCAGCAGCAGCGCCAGCAAGCGACCCAATGACGAGCGTCGCCAGAGGTTCAATCTTGTCCTTCTTGGTTATCTTCTTGTAGAGCGTGCGCAGTGTGTCCTATGCAAAGTAGTTGGAGCTGGCATATGAGCCGATTCAAAAGTCACCTGGCATGCGGCACGATGCCTATGAGGCTGGAGCCCAGTCCCCTGTAGAGCCGCTGTAGAGCTTGTGCACGCCCTCCCAACAGGTTCACCCACACGCCAAACCAGAAAGCACACCTGCTTGCGGGCGACTTCCAAGGGGAACGTGGCGGACGCAGCTGCAGCACCCGCCAGCGACCCGATGACAAGCGTCGCCAGCGGTTTGATCTTGTCCTTCTTGGTTATCTTCTTGTAGCGTGTGCAGCGTGTCATATGCAAAGTAGTTGGAACCGGCATACGGCACGACGCCTAACCACCCAGAGCGTGCAACCACACACACGCACCTGTTTGCGAGCCACTTCCAAGGGGAACGTAGCAGATGCAGCAGCAGCGCCAGCAAGCGACCCAATGACGAGCGTCGCCAGAGGTTCAATCTTGTCCTTCTTGGTTATCTTCTTGTAGAGCGTGTGCAGCGTGTCATATGCAAAGTAGTTGGAGCCGGCATACGGCACGATGCCTATGAGGCTGGGGCCCAGCCCGCGGTAGAGCTCGTGAGCGCCCTCCCAACAGCATCACCAACACCCCCCAAACCACACGGAGAGAAATCGCACCTGTTTGCGAGCCACCTCCAAGGGGAACGTGGCAGACGCAGCTGCAGCACCCGCAAGCGACCCGATCACAAGCGTGGCCAGAGGTTCAATCTTGTCCTTCTTGGTTATCTTCTTGTAGAGCGTGCGCAGCGTGTCATATGCAAAGTAGTTGGAGCCGGCATACGGCACGATGCCTATGAGGCTGGGGCCCAGACCCCTGTAGAGCTCGTGAGCGCCCTCCTCTGTGATGATGCGGTAGAACGCATGCAGGATGGAGCGGTACTCGCCCGGCTGCATGGACAGAAATGGCGGGGGGTGGGGGGAGGGGGGGAAGGTGGAGGGGGAGGCGCGGGTAAGGGAAGCATATCGGAGCGCCCTCCTCTGTGATGATGCGGTAGAACGCATGCAGGATGGACCGGTACTCGCCCGGCTGCATGGACAGGAGAGAGGGGTTGGAGGGGAGGGAGTGGAGGGGGGGGGCAGGAGTAGGGGATACGATATACAAGGAACCAGCTAATTCACACGCTCTTCTGTGTCGATGCCGTGCCGTGTCATTCACAGCAATATTCTCAAGTCATGCAAGGGCAAGGGCCGGCGCGGATGGAAATGAAGAATCGCAAGTCATGACCTGCTTGAGGTTCTTAATGTTCAGGTGGGATGTAGTGAAGGGGCATGATGTACGGCTGAGATGTAGTGGGGAGAGGGAGGGGGTGATGTACGGCTGAGATTAGTGGGGGGGGGAAGGGTTGATGTACGGCTGAGATGTAGTGAGGGGGAGGATGATGTACGGCTGGGATGTAGTGGCGGAAGCATGATGCTCTGGGCAGGGAGGTAGTAAAAGGAGCATGATGTAAGGCTGGGGAGCGGTGGGTGGTGCATAATGCAGGACTGGGATGTAGCGGCGTGTGCACGATTCTTCAACTGTGAGGAGCAAACTTGATTGCTACTACATAGGGGAATGCATGCCGTCCTTACTACGACCCACGCCTCAATGCAGGGACGAACCAGCACTGCTAGACTTACCTGGATGGTCAGGCGCGTCTAGACAAGCTCGAGGGGTACATGAGACAGCACACTGCCACGCCAGCAGCCGACCCGGCATGGGCTTGACAAACCGGAACTGATAAGCTACAAGGGTTATGGGCTTGGCATGGGCCAGGCAGGCAGGCCCGGGCGCTAGCAGCCGACCCAGTTGTAGAATCGCCACTTCAAAACTAATAAGCTCACCTGGATGGTCAGGCGCGTCTTGACGAGCTCGAGAGGGTACATGAGACAGCAGGCGGCCACGCCAGCAGCGGAGCCGGCGATGGAGGAGGGCGGGATGGGGATGATGGGCTTGCCACCGTCTGCAGGTGTGAGCAGCTTCTTGACTGTGTCGTACGTAGCTAGCTGGTGACGGGTGGGGGGGGGGCGGGGGGCGGGGAGGGGGGACAGGGAGGAAGGAGAAGAGCAACGGAGGAAGGAGGAACGGGGGTTATGAGCGCATGGGCAAACGCATTTTGCGCGGCCACGCCAGCAGCCGACCCGGCAATGGAGGAGGGCGGGATGGGAATGATGGGCTTGCCACCGTCTGCAGGAGTGAGCAGCTTCTTGACTGTGTCGTACGTAGCTAGCTGGTGAAGGGGGGAAAGGGGGGGAGAGGGGGGAGAGGGAGGAAGGGGATGTCGAAGTTAGCTGATGACGATGATGACGAGTCGACTAAAAAGTCACCTCGTTCGTTTTCTGGTGGTGTGAGCAGAACCTTATGGCATGGCATTGCATGAGAAGCGATGCCATGCATTAAATGAGCAGCGCTGATGAAAGGGAAGGGGATGTCGAAGCGCAGGAAAGGATGCCACAGGTCGGAGTTTCTTGTCTCGTCGTCATAACGCTCTGATTTTCTTGCCTAGCATAGAGATAAGTTGAGTGTAGCCTGAGCGGAGATAGCATGGTTGAACAGGCACGTGACACACCAGCAACAAAATGCATGTGATCAGTGCAGCAGCTGAGAGCTCAATGCATAGGACAATGCAGCAGCTGAGGCACAATGCATAGGACAATGCAGCAGCTGAGAGCTCAATGCATAGGACAATGCAGCAGCTGAGGCACAATGCATAGGACAATGGAACAGCTGAGAGTGCCAGGATGTCTCGAATGTGCAATTCTTACCTCCACAGCCTTGCCGGGAGCCACGCGGATGACGTTGATGGCGTTGCCGCGGAACAGCCCGCGCCACCCCTCCGTCTCCATGATCCCGCAAACCCCTCTATCGTGCATGTAAGGGCCCATCAATCTCCTCACATGTCCACATCTCACCTCCACAGCCTTGCCGGGAGCCACGCGGATAACGTTGATGGCGTTACCGCGGAACAGCCCGCGCCACCCCTCCTTCTCCATGATCCACCGGAACACGCCCACGATCGTACGGTGCCCCGAGCTCCCCACCATCAAGTGCGTGCGAATCGTCTCCAACGGCGCCACCACTGCCACATTGCACGAATTTATAATAAATATGATAACAAGTTTATGTGACAATCTGTGCCCCGAGCTCCCCACCATCAGATGCCTGCGGATCGTCACCAACGGCGCCACCACTGCAACATTGCGCAGTTTAAGAGTGATCACAATAGTTCTTGATTTGCAAGAGTAGCGTCCGAATTGTCAACGTGCTACTGCGATCGAACATTTCCAGCCGAATTTGTACGGGTCGCGGCAATACGACGGACGTACCACAAAAAGCGCTTCAACCAAGGAAGTGACGAGATTATTTAAAAAGCATGGGAAACGACTCGCACCTGTACGTGACACTCCTCCCGCAATGGCTCCGCTGACAAGCTTCTTCGCCGCTCCCCCGAGGCGAATCTGCACTCTGAAGCCGCGATTCGCCGTTCCCACCACCGTTACTTCGCCAGCTTCGCCAGTCTCCTCTCGCAGCTCTTCGCCAAACTCGATCTTCTCCAAACCACCTGCGGGCGTCGGCGTCTCGGACGACGAATCCGACGCGTATTCCGACCAGCTGAATCCAAATTCTCCGTCTACGCACTCTAGCGTTTCAATCTCATTCAGGGTCTTTCTCCTCCTATGCTTCTGACGTTGCCGCTCCGAAAACGTCACCTTGGACTTCATTCGATTTCCAAAGATCGGCTTCGCATCCTCCTCTTCGAGTTCACCTGCTTTTCGCAACCGCTGACGCTCCGAGAAGGTAACTTTATCCGGCTTCATGCGATGGCCACGGAAACCGAACGACCCTCCATTCGGACCATTTCCATTTTGAGCCGTTGGCGATCCGGAAGCATCCCCGTTGGAAGATGCGACGAGGGATCTTCGGGAGCCGCGCCGTCGCTGCTGTTGGCGTTCGGAGAACGACACTTTTCGAGAGTCTTGAGGCTTTGAACTGATCTCTAAGCCTTGCGATGCAGCTGGAGGGTCCATGGCGAAAACAGTTTTTTTCTGGTTCTCACGTAAAAACGACGACCAGAGAGACACGGATGAGTAAGAAATCAGGCGAGACTGGGCTATAACACGGTCGCTGAGACTGGTCTCTTCTCGTCGCAAACAATGCGGATCACTGAAATCTAGCTGGGCTACAACAACCAGAAGCAAGCGGAACAGGAAAACGCCTTCTGCAGACGTGACGAGAGATCAGCTCATACAGTCTCGCCAGATTCTTTTGCGGAAAACGCTGGGGATTGAGGGCGCACCCCCACCAATCAACAAGCCGTACTTTGATCTATATATAACCACAGTCGCAATGGTCTGTCAGTCAGTCTCAATCCTGTGTGCAATAGCCAAATCACAAACCACTATTTTTCTCGATGCGTTGCGGTTCAAAGTGGTATCCACAAAAAACCGCGCGCTACCGTTCTGAAATATTTTGAACCGCATTGGAGAACCAAAAGGAAATCCTGCAGGAATTGGTGTGAAGCTTTGAAGGACGGTCGTGGAAGGACGGACCTTCTGATAGGTGGGGGCGGAAGGAATGCCCAAGGTGTGACATTAGAAGGGAACTGTGACTGATCTGAAGGGTTCTGTTCGAGAGAAAGGCCGTTGTCCAATGAGAGAAAGCGCCTCATGCTGACATGGCCGCCACGTGCAGGGATTCGAGGAATCTTGCTCGTCCCTCGGGAAAGAGATGCTTTCTGGGGAGAGTCGTGACGCTGGATCTTGGGGCCAACATCATAGACATGCAAATTAGTGTGGTAACCCTATCCAATGGTATGCAAAACCGTCTTACCTCTGTTTGCAAGTTATTGACATGCTGCCCTGAAAGCACGTTCGTTTTTAATTCAAATTTGATCTTTACCGCGCTTGCCTTCGCGCTAAGACGTGATTTCTTCGGGCCAAGAAAAAAATAAAACCCGATCGGAAAGGGATGCGTCAGGGAGGCATCAACCCTAAAAACAATGTCCTTTCCCGTGTTTAGGGTTGATCCCTCCCAGAAATGCGTCCAGGTCCCTAGGGGTTTTATTGTTTTTCTGCCCTGCCCCTACATTTCCCGGTAGCAATATATTGGTCCAAATTAATGTTATCGAAATGGACCCCGTAGCCTTTCATTCCAGTGGATTTTTCGTCACATTTAGCGGAAAATAGTAGCCGGCAGGAATATTTGTTAGGCGCCGAACAAGACGCGGTAAGAACCACGACGATACGAAGTCAAAAACGCAACTGATTCAATCCCATATTTTCTTCCTTTTCTGTGCTGCGTCAGCTGTTACACAGTGTTTTGAGTGGCGCTACCAGACAATTTTGCGCAGCAGAACTGGGGTATCGACGGTTTTGCATACCATCGAATAGGGTTACCAGACTAATTTGCATGTCTATGATGTTGGCCCCTGGATCTTGGGAAGCACACAGCAGATTCGATTGGGGAACTTGCTCAGTGTTGGTACATCTATTTCTGCTAAAATAATGTACAACAAAAGTAGTGGGAGTGGTTGTATGATGCGGGTTATTTACTCCAAACATAGGCTTTATATCTTCCGAACAACCCCAGATGAGTAAGAATTCATAGTACAATCAGCCAGGTATGATCCTTAAGGAAGCGAGATAACCTAGTACTGCAACTTGCTGTTGTGTGATATGAGCCCCGTAGCGAACACATAAATTAAGCCCGTTAAGTATAACATGGGAGGCTGCACCAAGTTGTAGGCACACTGTGAACAAAGCTATGCACATTATTGGTTTACACAGACGAAAAGAATGAAGACAGTGAATAGCAACCACTTGCCATGCCGATTTAGGCACGTCTGCTGCTCTTGTTGCCCCCTTTCACCATTAACTCCCCAACCTCATCTTATCTGCTAAATTTCCTGAGCCATTTCCTCCTTGAGAATATCCCCAGCTAGTGCAAACGGTCCGCCTGCTCCTAACCGTCCTCGGGGTGGAGTACTGCAAGCTCTCTGGAGGTGCGTCCCCGTGAAAGCATGCCGACGGAAAAAACGAACTGGTGACGCCGTCATTGACGGCGAACTGCGGCCGTCTGCAGTTGACGGTCGGCTGTCACATCCTGACGACCAGCTGTGACGGCTGAATGGAGCAGCCGTGGATGGCGACGGGTTTGAGTCAGACAACGGGGGACCTGCGAAATTCCACTCTTCCTCGACAGGGAAGCGCTGAACAGACTCTCCTTCATGTCCGTTGGATGGAATGGCGGGGTTGCGATTCAGTGAAATCGACGGCTCCAGCGACTTGCGCATGGAATTGTGACGTTTGACAGCCGGACGTCGTGGTTCTGCGCTGAATCTGGAAGTGGAAAGCTGCTCGTTGATAATCGACTGGGGAGGACTACGCGCAGTAACAATCGACATCTGCGAGAATTGGTTTCGGATTAGGTATACAAAGGGAGCTGGAAGTCCAGAACGAGTGCGAAAGCCTGCAATGAAAGTCACTAAGGAGTAGGAACCGTGGAAAAGAATGTTCACGTCAAATGGTCGAGAGCAAGGAGTCGGGACCCCTAACACGACTTGGGAAGTAAGTACAGCGGAGAGTGCGGTGTAGGGCTTTAGGACGAATGTGGAGAAAAGCTCCAGGCTGGGAAAGAGGTTTGGGAAAGGACGAACCATGAAACGAAATTTCAAAACCATGAAGCGGAGGAGCAAGAGCGAGGAGTGAGGGAGATGTGTGTGTGAGAGAGGTAAAGTGTGTGAGAGAGGTAAGGTGCGTGAGAGAGGTAGAGTGTGTGAGAGAGGGGCAAGTTTGAGGGAGATGTGGAGGTGAGGGGTGATTGAAAGCTGGCATGGAGGGGATGAGGTCCGTTAGAAATGATGGTGGTGGTTATGCGGTCACTGATTCGTCGAGTCAGAGGACGGAGTTTATGTTACACGTCACTACAGTCGACTTGCACGCGGAGCCGCTGTTTTGTCGGCTTTCCCTAGGCTCCACCGAACCAAGTCCAGGTCCAGCCCAGAAAGCACCAGCAAACATCAACAGTACCCGACCTGCCCGTTTGATCGCGTGCTTGGCGCTGCCATCACACAACACAAGCATGAGTTCCATGTTCTAGAAGGATCAACCCCTTCAGGGAACTCGTGTTTTCTGCTGATCCACAACTTTCAGGATGACCGATTTGAAACCTACAGTAAGTAATTACAGAACAACGCGGAAACTGTCCAAACAATGACAGCTGTTGGGGCATGTGAACAAGGAATATGACAAGCCCGGAAGGCATCGAACAGCCTGAGGCCGTTGATCAAAGCTCCACGAGCGAATTTCTGTTGTACACCTGAAACACTCGCTCTGCGAGCCCATACAGCTGTACGATGGTGCGAAATCAAATGGGGAGATCCTCCAACGTGCCTCGATCGCAACGATTTTGTCTGATCGGTGCTGCTGTCTTTGCGGAAGCTGCCCAAGTTGCCCAAATAATAACTAGGCGCTGTAGTGCTTCGCTGTTGCCTTCACGCGGTTTTTTTACAAACAGCTGCGAACACATCACACGTCTATAGTTCCACACTGTATAATTGTTAGAAGTACTTCACATTCAGGTAATTCACGGAGGATCAGTCCGCCAAATATCAGTCAAGCCCAAGTGATTGTCGGACAAAAGCCAATAATCCTGCATTGTGGGCGGATAGGAGAAGCATAGCACAATAGCAAAAAGTAGGTCAGGCAAGCAAGCTACCATAGCAAACGAATCGATGCCAATACGAGTCTTCACCCTATGAAAAAACAATCAACTGGAGCAAGTGAGCTTTTAACGTGCAATAGTATCTACAGCTTTGCCGCACTCACCACTGGCTCGGCGGGAACGACTCTCATTGGTCCGGCCGCGTCCCCCGGCAGACCTGGCATTGTAATCCAAATGTCCCCTTCCCCATCCCCCATACCCATCGCTCCTCCGCCTTCACCCCCCCTCCCTTCTCCACATCCCCAAGTCCCAGGACTCGAGTCTATTCCCACCCCTGCACCCGTAACCGCTCCCTCCTGTCCTACCACCCCTCTGCCTCCTCCTCCTGCCGGTGCTGCTGCTGCTGCCACTTCTCCTGCAGTCGTTGCTGTTGCTGCTGGTGGTCGTGTTTCCGTCGCAGCACTCCCAGTTCCCTCAGCTGCATCCTCAGTAGCAGGTGCTGCAGCAGGAGTGGTGTGGTCCGTGGCTCCATCAAACTTCTCCTCAAACCGGCTGCGGATGCACAGGTACAGGAACACGAGCTTAAGTATGGGTCACCTCAGAAAACAGAGCAGCTGATTCAATCAACGAGAGTTTAGAGAAAGCACCTCGAGAATGGAAGATCACACAACGCAGCCGAGTGCATAAGAAATAGGGAGGTTGGGAGCCCGGTGGTGGGGTGGAGAGACAGGAAAAGGCAGGGTACAAGGCAACAGGACGGTGTGGTTGCACCTGACAAGGTAGACATCAATGGGGCCGTTAGCGCTGCGCAGCAGGATCTGATAGCGCTTGCTGCATGGTGATGGGCCACTGTGCGCCCTGCCTGCCTGAGTAACTCACATGGGTGGGTGGAAGGGGCATTGGGCATGGGAAGAGGTGGAAAAAAGGGTGGATGGGAGAGGGGAGAAGGGAGAGGGGGCATGGGAGGTGTGCGCATGAGAAGTGGTTTTGTTAAAGTGACCAGGTGAGAAATGATGGGGTCTTTAGGTGTGATGATGTAGATGGGAGCACATGATGTGGATGGGAGCACATGATGTGGATGGGAGCACATGATGTGGATGGTACCCATCCTTTGTTAAAGCAGCACAGAGCAACACCAACAGGACTCACCCCTCGCGAATCACCCCATCAGCACTGACCACATCAGCACTCACTTTGTCAGGTCCCACCTCGTCAGGATCAGGAACTTCCAACATGGTGCCGTGTGGAGCGCGGATGGCGATGAGCGTCTCACCCTATCACGAATCACCCCATTGCAAATCACAACGTCAGCACTGACCACGGCAGCACTCACTCTGTCAGGTCTCACCTCGTCAGGTTCAGGAACTTCCAGCATGGTGCCGTGGGGAGCGCGGATGGCGATAAGCGTCTCATTCTGGCATGCAAGCAAGGATGGGGAAGGGGCAAGAGAGTGGGGGGGCAAGGAAGGGGGATTGGGCAATGGAAGCGGATCAGGGACTTCCAACATGGTGCCGTGTGGAGCGCGGATGGCGATGAGCGTCTCATTCTGGCATGCAAGAGAGGGGGATGAGTGAAGGGGGAATGGAGGGGGTATGGAAAGGGGAGGGGGGACGGGGAAGAGAGAAGGAAAGGGGGGTTTGGGTAAAGGAAGGGTGAGGGGGAAGTGAGGGAAGATGGACAGGGGAGGGGGAGCGGGGAAGGGAGGAAGGATGGGGCAACGGAGAGGGAAAGGGGAAGGAAAGGAGGATGGTGCAAGGGAGGGAGGATGGAGCAAAGGAGGGACGATGGGGCAAGAATGAAAGGATGGGGCAAGAATGGGAGGACGGGGCAAAGGATGGGGCAGGGGAGGGAAGATACAACAAGGTGTCTGAGAGAGATCAGCTGATGGACAAATGTATGCACCAGCAGGGATGCCAGGTATTTTTCAGGATGGAAGTTGAGACAGCAACAGTTACAAGACACAGTCTACCTGGAAGCACGGCAGGCTCTTAATATCATCTTCTGTGACGAACATCCACTGCTTCTTCTCCCCATCTGTGCCCGACAACCGCAGCCGCTCCTGCATGGCCCTGTGTGAGCGGGTTGGAGGTATGGGAGGAGGTGTTGAGGCAGGTCAGGGGTGGTTGAGAGGGGTTGAGAGTCCACTAGGTGTCATCTTCTGTGATAAAAATCCACTGCTTCTGCCCATCGTTGCTCGACACCCGCAGTCGCTCCTGCATGACGCTGTGTGGAGAGGGTGGGAGGTAGAGGAGGGGGTGGAGGTAGCAGAGGGTTTGAGGGCGTGCAAAGAAACGACAGCACGGATGCGATCTCTCTGCCTCCCGCGTGAGAGCACCTCGTGCTTAGAATAGATGAGACGGATTTCATTCGAATAGATTGGTGATCTGATGAGACAGGTGCTGTAGACGAGACGAGGAGGGAGGAGAAGGCAGGAAGAGGAGAAGAGTAGAGAGGAAAGGAAAGGAGGGGAGAGGAGGGAGAGAGAGTGCATACCGAATGTCTTTGTCTAGCTGCCCGTCTTGCTGCCTCAACTCGTCTAGCTGAGCCTGTTGGCAACACAGGGAACGAGAGACGGATAGAAGGAGAGAGGGATAGAGAAGGGCGGCGGGGGAGGGGAGATGGAGGAAACATAGAGGTAGAGAGGCGAGGAGGAGAAAAGAAGCAACCATTGATTGGAGTCATGTGGGAAACGGAAGATGGGGATGAGTGATGGAAGGGGAAAGTAGACAATGGAATGATATCGCTAGAACAAAAAGAACAAGTAAAAAGGACACGCAGACAGCTTGTTAGCATTTGGAAATGCAATGACATGGCGGAGGGGTGGGGGGGTCGACAAGGATAGAAAAAGGGAACAGGGAGAAAAGGGGGATTGGCGGGGAAGGGCGGGGAGGGGAAGAATGTTGGGAAGGGGGAGAAGGGTGGGGAGGGAGGAAGTGTGGGAAACGGGCGAAGGTGGGAAAAGATAAAAAGACACCACGGCAGGTTGAATCCAAAACACCCAAAACTCAACCCTCCCAACCATGCCTCACCCTCCCATACCCTTCACTCTCCCCCCTCCCCACACCTTTCCTTCCTCCACCATCAACATCCGTATCCCCCATCTCCATCCCCCCAGCCACCCCCCATGCCACCCACCATAGCACAGCACCGCACAGAACATACACAGCACCGCACCGCACCTGGGCACTGGTCACGTCGTGTTGCATCCGTGCTGCCCCCTCCCCTTGCAGGTTCATCCCCCTGTCTCCCACAATCACAGCACAGGGAGGAACATCACATCACACAGTATTGAGACGCCTCAGAACTCTTTCTCACTCGAGCACAGTGCAGGGAGGGGGCCCGGACAAAACAATTCAAAGAGATTCCAACCTCTGTGCATCATAGAACAAGGAGGGGGGTCGGAGCACACAGTATACTGTCTCAGGGCTCTGGCTCACACAGTTCTGAACCCTCCCCTCACAGGCTCACCATTCTCATCCCGGCCCAAGCACTCATTCCCCCCTCATCGCATGCACTCACCCCCATGCATTCACCGCCACCCCCCCATGCATTCAACCCCACCCTCCCATGCACTCACCGCCCCCACCCTTCCCATGCACTCACGCCCATCGCACAATGTTCTTGCCCTTCTTCTCAATCAACCCAATGCCTTCATCATGCTGCGCCTTCCTCATCCCCATGCGCTCACCCCACCCCCGCCCCCTTCCCATGCACTCACGCCCATCGCACAATGTTCTTGCCCTTCTTCTCAATCAACCCAATGCCTTCATCATGCTGCGCCTTCCTCATCCCCATGCGCTCACCCCACCCCCGCCCCCTTCCCATGCACTCACGCCCATCGCACAATGTTCTTGCCCTTCTTCTCAATCAGCCCGATGCCCTCAAGCACGTTCGTGATGTCGTAGATCCGCCGCTTCTGCACCTGCAGGTGTGAACAGAGGGGGTGGCGGTGGGGGTGGGGTTGGGGTTGGGGGTGGGGGAGGGGGTGGGGGATGGGAAAAAGTGAAGGTTATGGTGGAATCAGCCCTATGCCATCAAGCAAGTTAGTAATGTCATAGACTCGCCGCTTTTGCATCTGCAGACAAGAAAGAAGGGTGGGGGGTAAGGAGCAATGGGAGGGGCACAAGGAACAATTCAGGGCGACCCTGACTAGAACTTGCCAGGTAAAGAACACGGAACGTTCGGAGCAAAATAGAGAGGAATTTTGCTGAGGGTACACAGCATTCAAAGCACCAGTTAGGGGAACGCACGCTGAGGGAGGCAGCAGCGACGTTTAAATCCACAGAGCAGTCGGGACTGGCCTTGATGAGATCGATGAACTTTCGAGTGAGCAGTCCTGGAGACGAGCAACAACGGTGGCAACAGCAGAAGGGTGGAAATTACGGCAGCATATGACTGAGTTCTGAGTATAAATGAGTTCGAAACGTGAAAACTCAAGAAACATGAGGTTGGTGCCAATGGTGCGATGCGAGAGGAAAGAGGTGGGATAGAACGAGACGAAGTCTGGGTTGAATGCAAAGGGATGGCACCATAACTCGATTCACACACTCAACTTTCTGACTGACCTCTGGCCCTCCTTCTCCCCCTACTCTTTACCGAGAGAATTGTCGAATCTGCATGAATGCTGCTGCTTCTGATGTGGCTGCAGGAACTTTGTGCTTGTCTTCTGATGAGGTAGCTCTTGTTGCTCTTGTTGCAGTTGCAGTTGTCGCTGCTGTTGCAGTTGTTGCTGCTGTTGCTGATGATGATACTCCAGGGTCTGATGCTGCTGCTGCTGGTACGGCTGCACTGGTTGCTGTTGCTGCAGATGAATTTCCTGCTGAAACGGAAAATGCTGCTGCTGTTGGTGCTGTTGGTGCTGTTGGTGTTGCTGGTGGTGCTGGTGCTGTGGTTGAAACTGCACGTGTTGCTGGTGCGACGGCAAATGGTGGTGACCTTTCTGTGGCAAATGTGGCGGTTGTTGGTACGCCAGCTGGCTGTGCATTCTCGACGTAGCAGCAGCAGCAGCTGCTGCTGCATTGACAGTGGAAGCGGGATAGGCCTGGGAATAAGGGACGGATATTTCCGCCTGAGACCACCCACCTGCGCGGAGGCAAAGCACGCACACACACACACAAAGATAAAAAGAGATAAAAAAGTCGAATACATAAGGTGACATGCAGGAGATCGTGATCCGCTAGTAGCACTCAATCGTCTGCAGGTAGACACGCCAATAACGTCGTCAAGATTCAGCGTCACGCCTTGGAACGAACCCAAAGTGTTGGAACGATCTAGACCTCCAGTTTTGGAAATTTTCAAAAGCGAACCACCGCAAGGGTCGAAACAGTCCGGGCGTCCCCAGATCTGCAGCCTGGTTTATCAAGTCGCGAATGCACCTGCTATTTTGCGCCGGACGCGGTAAGGAATGCTGGAGAACGCTGCATCGCTACTTGAAGCGACTCAAGAAGCGACTCAGGCATCGGATTCACATGCTGGGTGTGGTCAGGGATGGCTGCGAAATGCTGCATTGCTCACTCAGTGAAGCAAAGAAGCGACTCAGACATCGGATACACCTGCTGTCCTGTCCTGGACGGTAAGGGTTGCATGTAGAATGCTGCATTGCTCACTGAATGAGCAAAGACCGAACTCAGATATCGGACCCACCTGCTGTACCGTCCTGGTCGTGGTAACTATTGGGAGCAGAATGCTGCATTGCTCACTGATTTGAATCACGAAGCGAGTGGCACATCGGATTCACCTGCGGTCCTGTCGTGGGCGTGGTAAGGGATGGCTGCGGAATGCTGCGTTGCCGTTGCCAGCACGGCCGTTGCATTTATACCAGCTGCTCCAATCGCAGCGTCACCCAAACCGACCACGCTGCCCGTCCTTCCGCTAGGGATAGTGGTACCGCTCCTCCATTGCGTGTCACGCTGCATTGCGAAGAAAAAGGTCAAACGAGCACAGATTCTGAAACGAGAGATACAGATACTGCCAGCATTGCAAGCCTTCGCTGTTAAGAGAGATCCGGTGGGTGGCGGATTCAGTGTGAGCTAAACCAGGAGTTTTACAATCGCGATAACTTCATACGAGCGGGAGAGACATTTCGTTTCCTGTTGGCTAATGAAGATTACCGTGTAGCTTGACTGATAGGCTGCATTGTCCATTACCCCCCAATATCCTTGGCGTGCTGACGAAAACGGATTCGAATCAGGGTGAAACGGAGGCTGGTGAAACGCCTGCTTCATCGGTGAATGTTCTTTCTACTACCGCGGCTGTGGAGATCGTATGTGGAGATCATCAAACCAGTCTATGACGCCAATGGTTTGAGCTTTGTTGCTAATACTGCTACTAAGATGAGTTCCCGCGTTCCAAATGAACTGAATGTGTGTGCTGTTGCTGTAATATAAGCTTCGTCAATCCCTAGGTTAGCTATCTTCCAACAGCACTGCTGCTGGAACTGCTCTTGTTGCTGCTTCAAAAAGTCTCTCCAATTTCCAGTCGCTCTTGTCCCACACAAGCCCTCTTCATTCCGGTCCAGAGGTCTCAAGCTCAGGGAATATCTCTTGGGAAATGAAGTGTGCTGTGGTGATACTATCGAGGATGATCATTCGTACAACAGTACGTAGCCGTTGGCTTGAGTTTGAGAATCTCGGCGGGAAATCTTGTCTCTTGAGTTTGAGTTTGGATACAATAAATCACATATCCAACGGCTGTTACTTGAGCTTCTCAAAAATAAAGCAGCCTCATGGTTCTGCTCAGCGGCCACAACCATTGCGATGACACGGGTGGCAAGGAAACTGTTTCGGCCTTTTGCCGAGGTGTATGGAGCCTGGACAAGTGGGGCCAGCCAATGAATTGCTCACGACCAGGTTCGTGGGTGCTCATTGATGATCGCTGACACGCTGGATGCTGCCCATGCCACATCGATTGGTTCATTTGGTCGCTGGGGGTTTGGCCAAACCGAAAGAACTCCTTGTTGACTGACAGCTTATGAAGATATGGAGATGTTTTGCCAGCAAGTACACTCCGACAGCTTATGAGTAGATTCGCGTCACAATGCGAATACTGTAACACTTCGAGAATTCACATTCACACCATTCACACAATGCGAATATTTTTTGAAAGACAACAGACACATAATCTTTACAAAGAAATGCGAATATTGTGATGTGGTGTACCCTACTTGGAGCAGGCGGCAACCCAAATTCTGTCAGCGATCGCGTCGGCATCGTACGGGGCGCCTACCGAGTCGTCCTCGCCCAAATGTCCCCTGCCCAATCCAAATCCCCTCAATTCCTCCCAGCAATGTCCCGCAAATCCCTCCTCCCAAATTCTTCCCGCATTTTTCCTCCGCGTTCCCTAGCCCGTCGCCATTTCCCCTCCCGTTTCTTCAGCTTCCCGAACCGTATCCTCCACACAGCTAGCTGGCCGCGTTTCCCGCTCACACAGCCCTGCTGCTACCCATCACTCTCACTCTTTGGCATTCCTAGGAAGCCCTCGCGTTGACCCGTCTTTCCTGTGTCGTCGGAATTTGGGAATAGCGATCGCCAGATGCGCTGATCCTCCTAACAACCGACCAACAGCACCTGTGGCCGTCAGATCCACAAGCCATCGACCAAAAATAGAAGAGCGAAAATGAGTGCCGCACGACATATTAGCACGTCCTCTTCGCTACGTCCACGGTATGCTTACTCTTGTACCGATCACGTTGAAACGCGGTGGCACAGTTACAGTTTCAGTGGACGGCGATCGTAAATGGCTTTTAGCATAGTGTGAGCTAGTGTTTTTCTAGTCGACTTTTGAGGCGCCACAAGAGCTTGGATGTAAGCGCTTCGTCCCGGATTAAGTTTACCGACATCAATCCTCAGTGACTTTCCGTTTCCGCGATATTAAAGCGAGCTCGTACTCGTTCGTGTCCATCTCTCAGTTAGAATCTGTTAAGACCTCAAATTTATTATTTTGTTCTCCGAACCATCCATTAGGATCGCTCACCTGCAGCCACGCTACCCTCGTTTCCCTCTTCTCTACCTTATGCCCTGATTACGACTTGATTGCTGGATAAGTTTCGGTTGTTTCCTGAGCCGACCTAGGCGTCGTAGAGTAAACCATAAGTTTTGTCGCCATGGCGGTATGTCGACAGCGGGATCAGGTGCGAGATTGTTCCGCGACGCAATCGCCATCACCAATGTCTCGGATAGCATTCCCACTCGCTCTTGCGCTAGCGTTGCTCGCGCTCTCCGCCCTTCCCGCGTCAGCTCCAGCCACTGACGGAAGCTCCTTCACTGCCGCAACTGCCGCCGCCGTATCCTGCGCAGATGCCGCTGCCATGAGCGTTCGATTTGTTGCGAATGGCGCCCACAACGGGAGAGGACATGCGCGCGTATTAACAGCCTCACCCGATAGAATCCGTACTAGCTCCGGGAAGCGGAGCAGTTTCAAGACTAGCGAGTATCCTGTAAGCTCGCCGTCGAAATCGCCGTCAAGCGCGCCGAATTTCTTCAAGCCCCGAAACGTAGAGGAGAACTTCGCGGAAAAACCGCCGCCAGAGCCGCCGCTACCCACGGCGGCGACCGCCGCGCGATCCAGGGAGACCATATCGCTGCTCTACACTGAGCTGCTGAAACGCGCGCGGCCGCCGCCTCCGCTGCCGCTGCTCGCGGCTCCGCGGCCCGGTTCTACCAGAAAGAGTCCTAAGCTTGGCAGCAGATTAATCAGCGTTATGATCAAAACGTCTCCACCAATCAAGAAGAAGTCGCCCGCGCCGCCGAAGAAACCGGCGAATCATCCGCCGAAGGTCCCCACGAAAAGTCCTGCAAGCGCCTCGAATTCGTCCCCGCCCAAGCGTGGCGTTTCTCCGCCCAAGCGCGGAGTTTCCCCGCCGAAGCGCGGAACATCCCCCCCGATAAAGCGCTCGCCGATCCTCCCCAAGAGGCGCTCCCCTCCCCCGCACTCATCCTCCCCGCCTAAGCACAAATCTCCCAAGACCCCGCCCCCCCCTAAGAAATCCCCCCATATGCGGTCCCCTCCGAAGTCCCCCCGGCCTGTTTCTCCCCCGAAGCGGCGCAAGCCGTCTTCTGCGCAGAAGTCTCCGCCTCCGCCGAGTCCCCCTCCGCCGTCTCCGCCTACGGGGAGCGGGGGCGTCGACCTGGGGAACGCGCAGAAGGTGCTGACGATGCTACAGCCGTATTTCGACGACCCGCAATTCATGATGTTCGCAATCAACGGAGGTGAGGCTTTTGGGGGGGCTTTATAGAGCTTTTCAGGGCTTCCAAAATTCCGTAGGTAAGGCTCTTGGGCTTTCCTATGAGGGAGGTGCTGACGATGCTACAGCCGTATTTCGACGACCCGCAATTCATGATGTTCGCCATGAGCGGAGGTAAAGTTTTTTGGGGCTCTTATAGATTTTTTCAGGACTTTGTGGGCTTCTGTAACGCGGGATTCTGTAACGCCCTTGAACTGACAAGCCCATAAGAAGGTGCTGACGATGGTACAGCTGTACCTGGACGGCCCGCAACTCGTGATGTTCGCGGAGACGATGTGATCTTTGTGTCTGACAAAAGCGCTCAACTCAACAGACAAAGTCACCTTCGTGCCTGATCGCGACACCATCAAGGACTTGCCTGACGATTCACCGCTGATCCCTCCATCCCAACCCGCTTCCAGGTCTCCTCACGCTGATGGGGAGAGCCCTTAACTCAACAGAGAAAGTCACCTTCTTCGTGCCTGATCCCGACACCATCAAGGCCCGACTCGTCGTCACACTCATAAAATGACCCCACCCTGCCACTGTCCCCTTGTTATCCCCACACACCACCAGGCGTGCTCACTCTCATGGGCAGGGCACTCAACTCAACGGAGAAGGCCACCTTCTTCGTACCGGATCCCGACACCATCAAGGACCTGCCTGACGATTCGCCACTGAAAAACGATCCCCTTCATCCCATCCTGTCCCCCTCCAGGTCTGCTCACGCTCATGGGTAGAGCCCTCAATTCCACAGAGAAAGTCACCTTCTTCGTGCCTGATCCCGACACCATCAAGGACCTGCCTGACGATTCACCGCTGATCATTTTCCCCATCTCATCCCCTCCTGTCACCAGGTCTCCTGACCCTCATGGGGAGAGCCCTCAATTCCACTGAAAAAGTCACCTTCTTCGTGCCTGACCCCGACACCATAAAGAACCTGCCTGACGACTCACCGCTCATCAACGACCCAGCCATCGCCACGGCAGTGGTCAACTTCCATGTGGTGCGGGGAAGGCAGGTCACTTACACGGAGCTGACTCAAGATGCAACAGGCACCATGGTGAGTGGGTCAATGAAAGGGCGGTCGCTTTGGGGGAAGAGAGGGTGGTGCGCTCATCAACGACCCAGCCATCGCCACGGCAGTGGTCAACTTCCATGTGGTGCGGGGACGGCAGGTCACCTACACTGAGCTGACTCAAGCCAGTACAGGCACCATGGTAAGTGGGGGCTGGAGGGTGTGTGGAAGGTGGGGGGTTGGGGAGGGTACAGCCTCGTCACCGCTGATCAACGACCCGGCCATCGCCACGGCAGTGGTCAACTTTCACGTGGTGCGGGGCAGGCAGGTCACCTACACTGAGCTGACACAAGCCGCCACTGGGACCATGGTGAGCGGGGGAGTGGGGCAAGGGAGGGAGGGGGGATGGTACCGCCACTTCGCCGCGCACGTTACTCCTCTCCTTTGTTTCAGTACAGAACAGATCAGCAGCGAGCTTTCTTTTCAACGTGGTGCTGCGGCAAGCCAAGGGCCCTCCCTTTCTCATGCCCTCATGCCCTCATGCTCGTCCTCCCCTTCTCGCCATCTCGCCTTTATCCCCTGCCCTTCCCCCTCTCCTTCACTTCTCCTGCAGAGTACATGACGAATTCTCCCCCATTTCCCCTCTCTCTCTCCTCTCAATGCAGTACCAAACGGATCAGCACGAGCCACTGGTGAAGGACGCAGCGTCTTTCCTCTTCAATGTGGTGCTGCGACCAAGCCAAGGGCCCTCCCGCGCCACCATCACCATGCCCAACGCGTACACGGACGAGAGTATGCAGGTGAGAGCTGTGGGGGGAAAAGGCGATGAGAGGCATCTGACACACATGAGAACATGCGGGCCAAGGGCCCTCCCGCGCCACCATCACCATGCCAAATGCTTACACGGACGAGAGCATCCAGGTAAGCGCTATGGGGAGAGATATGCACACGTGTGACGGACCCGCTGTCATGGTGCTGCGGCCGAGCCAAGGGCCCTCCCGCGCCACCATCACCATGCCAAATGCTTACACGGACGAGAGCATGCAGGTGAGAGCCATGGGGGGGGGGGAAGGCTATCAGGCAGATGTGAGTGCATGCAGGTCTAGTGCCCTCCCGCGCCACCATCACCATGCCCAATGCATACACGGACGAGAGCATGCAGGTGAGGGCTGTGCGGTGGGGGTCATGGGATGAGAGCTCTCGAACACTCGTGAGAGCATGCAGATCTAGAGCCCTCCCGTGCCCAACGCATGTACCGATGAGAGCATGCAGGTATAGGGCCCTCCCGTGCCCAACGCATATACCGATGAGAGCATGCAGGTGAGGGTTCTCACACACATGAGAGCCCTCGTGTGCCACCATCACCATGCCCAACGCGTATATGGACGAGAGCATGCAGGTTGGGTACCGCATGCCATCAGAACACACGGGTGCATGCAATTTGGCCCGCATGGGTGGTGCACACGTGTGAAGGACCCATGGTGACCGTTCCCACTGCATCCACATGTCTAGCACTCCCCACTCGCCCGTGCTGCCCTATTCCATGCACATCTGTGCACTACCCCCCGTCCACCGCCCCGCACCCCACCCACTCCACCCTGCCCACCCGGCCACAGCCCGCCAAACCCCATCTCACTCCGCTCCATCCCACCCCACCCCACCCCACCCCACCCCACCCCACCCCACCAGGTGCACGTGCTTGACTCGCTGCTCATCCCAGACTCGGTCTACTTCGCCCCTCCAACAATGCCCCCTCCATCAAGCCCTCCTCCAAGCCCTCCCTCGCCATCCCCTTCAGCAACTCCTCCCCCACCATCCACATCACTTCCCACAGCAACCCAGCAGCCGCCACCGTTGGTGGCAGCAGAGAAGCAGACCCCCACCGTGGCAACAGCAGCAACCTCTCCACCATCCAGTTCAGATCCCAACACTAAGGTGTCTCCACCACTTCCCCAGTAATTCGTGAGGCATCTTGAAAGGCCTTCTGCTTGGTAACTCTTGAGTCGACTCAGAATGTAGCAACGAAGCAGCCCATGCCCACTTCAGTCACCTCTCCTGCTTCTCATTCGGCTTCCTTTTGGAGATTCGTCGGCTGTTGGTCATTGCCATGGCTTTGTAACCAAGTGCTACGGTATTTCCCCTAAAGTCACATAGCGTGCTGTCAAAATGAAGAATGGATGGTGCATTGATGTTGGTTGGGGTACATATAGCTAACCCTAAGTTTTGTACCCCCTAAGACAAACCTCACTATAGGCTACAACATTTGACACACCCCCATAGCCTAAGTGAGGGGTGTCTAGCAGAACCAAACAAGTACGGTCACAAGACCAGTCCAGCTCAGGGTGGATCACAACGTCACCACACAGTCTGAGCACAACCCTCCCGTGCCCAACGCATGTACCGATGAGAGGCATGCAGGTATAGGGCCTCCCGTGCCCAACGCAATATACCGATGAGAGCATGCAGGTGAGGGTTCTCACACACATGAGAGCCCTCGTGTGCCACCATCACCATGCCCAACGCGTATATGGACGAGAGCATGCAGGTTGGTACCGCATGCCATCAGAACACACGGGTGCATGCAATTTGGCCCGCATGGGTGGTGCACACGTGTGAAGGACCCATGGTGACCGTTCCCACTGCATCCACATGTCTAGCACTCCCCACTCGCCCGTGCTGCCCTATTCCATGCACATCTGTGCACTACCCCCCGTCCACCGCACCCCACCCACTCCACCCTGCCCCACCCGGCCACAGCCCGCCAAACCCCATCTCACTCCGCTCCATCCCACCCCACCCCACCCCACCCCACCCCACCCCACCCCACCAGGTGCACGTGCTTGACTCGCTGCTCATCCCAGACTCGGTCTACTTCGCCCCTCCAACAATGCCCCCTCCATCAAGCCCTCCTCCAAGCCCTCCCTCGCCATCCCTTCAGCAACTCCTCCCCCACCATCCACATCACTTCCCCACAGCAACCCAGCAGCCGCCACCGTTGGTGGCAGCAGAGAAGCAGACCCCCACCGTGGCAACAGCAGCAACCTCTCCACCATCCAGTTCAGATCCCAACACTAAGGTGTCTCCACCACTTCCCCAGTAATTCGTGAGGCATCTTGAAAGGCCCTTCTGCTTGGTAACTCTTGAGTCGACTCAGAATGTAGCAACGAAGCAGCCCATGCCCACTTCAGTCACCTCTCCTGCTTCTCATTCGGCTTCCTTTTGGAGATTCGTCGGCTGTTGGTCATTGCCATGGCTTTGTAACCAAGTGCTACGGTATTTCCCCTAAAGTCACATAGCGTGCTGTCAAAATGAAGAATGGATGGTGCATTGATGTTGGTTGGGGTACATATAGCTAACCCTAAGTTTTGTACCCCCTAAGACAAACCTCACTATAGGCTACAACATTTGACACAACCCCATAGCCTAAGTGAGGGGTGTCTAGCAGAACCAAACGAGTACGGTCACAAGACCAGTCCAAGAAACAAAGCTCAGGGTGGATCACAACGTCACCACACAGTCTGAGCACAAACAACAGTGGCCACAAGGCCAGTCCAAGAAGTAACAGAGATATATAGAAAGCAAAGTAAACAGTACACTCAAGTCTAAGCAACACGAGAACCAGTGTCAACAAGGCCTAACTGCACACAGCACCTCTGGTGGTCACAAGGCGGAAGCGCCTTGGTGAAGATGTCTGCAGTGTTGGCCTCGGACTCCACAAACTCAAAGCGAGCCTGTCCACGCCTCTGCAACTCTCGCAGAAGAAAGTACCTGACGTGAATGTGCTTCACTCTGCTCTCTAGTCGTGGCTCTCGACAAAGGAGAATAGACGCCTTGTTGTCAGTGAACAAGGTCGGTGCAGAGCTCGGCCGCTCACCAAGGTCGGTGAGCAAGAAGGTCAACCAACGCAGCTCCTGTGCCGCCATGGCACCAGCGTAGATCTCAGCCTCAGCTGTAGAGGTCGAGACCGAAGAGGAGCGCGTGGACCGCCAGGAAACAGCTCCAGAACCCAGGCTGAAACAGTACCCCTGAGTAGACCTGTGAGTCTCAGCGTCGTCAGCGTAAGAGGAGTCACAGTGACCAGTAAGTACGACAGACTGCTGCCCTCCAAGAACTAGCCCCACGCCTGACGTCGTCGCTAGGTACTTTGCCACCCTCACAGCTGCTGTCCAGTGAACAGGACGGTGTCTCCCTGGCGCAACAAAGCGCGCAAGAACGCTGAGAGGGAAGGCGAGGTCCGGGCGAGTACAAGTCATCAGGTACATGAGGCAACCCACAAGCTCTGCGTAGGGACCACTAGGCTCGAACGGCTCGTCAGGAAAGGGTCCAGTGAGTCTGTGGTCAACAGCAAGAGGTGTGCGCTGTACTGTGGAGTGCTGAAGCCCGAACCGCTGAAGGACCTGCTGCACCATGTGCGACTGTGAAAGTGTAATGGTGCGAGCAGCTCTGTCCCTGGTGATCTGCAGGCCAAGGTAGTGGCGCAGCTCACCAAGATCAGTGCAGGTGTGTCTCTTCTGCAGTTCGGACTTCACGTGTGCCAAAGCAACCCTGTCAGGGGTGGCGAAAACAAGGTCGTCAACGTAGACCAGAACAAAGAAAGGTGTGGGGCCACGACGAACGAACAGCGACGGGTCAGCAGAAGACGGCTGGAACCCAAGGTCAGAGAGGGTAGAACGCAGGGTGTCGTGCCACTCACGAGGAGCCTGACGAAGACCGTAAACCGGTCGCCTCAGCCTCCACTGGGTCCCAGGAGGGAAAGAGCCAGTGAAGGCAGAGGGACGACGCAACCAGACCTCCTCGTGAAGACTGCCCTGAAGGAAAGCAGTAGAGAAGTCGAGAGAGTGTAACTCGTAGTCTCTCTGTGCTGCTACGTGTAGTAACACCCGAAGAGTGGTCATCTTCGGGGTGGGCGCGAAGGTCTGAAAGAAGTCAACTCCCTCGCGCTGACTGAAACCTCTAGCCACGTAGCGCGCCTTGAAGACCGGAGGAGATCCCGGTGGCCGCTTCACCCTGTAGATCCACATGCCGTCGACTACGTTCGCCCCCGGAGGGGGAACCTCATCGACGTAGGTGCCTGTGGATCTGTAGGAGGCCATCTCTGCGTCCATGGCAGCTCTCCACTGAGAGGCCCAAGGCCCTGACACTGCCTCAGCGTAAGTGCGAGGAGTCGGAATGTCAAGGGCGTCAGGGTCACCCTCAGGGGCGAGGAGCATGGCACAGAGATGAGGGGAAGCGGCCGCCAGGAACTCTAGCTCAAACTGCCTGTCCTCTAGGGCGTCACAGCCAAGGGCAGACACACCCCCGACGGCCAGAGGACTGGAAGGAGGAGCAGCCACAAGCGCGGTGGCGAAGTCAAGGCGGCGGGTAGAGGCAAAGTCAGTGACTGCGGCAGTAAGAGCAGACACAGAGGACACAGAGGCACGAGGGTGAGTAACAAGCGAGGCGAGAACACGAGAGAGAAGAGGACGGTACGTGCGGTAGTAGTCAGTGACAGGAGTAGGGAGCGACGCAGTGAGAGCCGACTCAGGAGGAGACGGAAGCACAGACGGAGACGGACGAGGTGGACTAGAACGAAGTAAGGCAGTACGAAGGTCAGTGAAGGGAACAGGAGACGAGGGACGAGCACGAGGGGAGCGACGAGAGGCCCAAGTCTGAGAAGGAGGAGGGGACAACGAAGATGAGAAGACGGGGAAAACAGCGGGAGAGGGGTCAGGAGGAGGAAGCGGAGGACCAGAGACGGGAGGAGAGGGGGAGGAGGAAGGAGAGGGAGAGGGGAGACCAAGGGTCCGAAGACCCGAGACAGGAGGAGGAGACGGCAGCTGCTGCTGCTGCTGCGGCTGCTGCGGCTGCTGCTGCTGCTGCGCTGCTGCTGCTGCTTGCTGCTGCTGTCGCTCCTGCTCCTCGAGCCGCTGCAACTCTCTCTCCTCTCTCTCCAACTCCAGCTGCTCCTCTCACGCACGAGCACGACGAACACGAGCCTGGAACCTGGTCGGGTAGGGGTGGGGGGGAGGAGTAGTGTCCGGGGGCGGCAGCGCAGCCCCAGAGTCGACCTCCGAAGCACCAAGCACACCACCCCCAGAGGCAGCACCAACACCAGCTCCAGACCCAGGCCCTCCAGAAACCGAAGGGACACCCTCACCCCCAGACGCAGCACCCCCAGACTCCGCACGACCAGTACCAGCCCCCGGAAGACAAGAGTCCTCTGCAACCCGCGGCTCAGCTCCAACTCCAGCACCCCCAGAACCAGAGACCTGTACAGGGACAGTCGCCGGACCAACCTCTCGAGAGGGAGCACCTGCAGGAGGCGGCGAGGAAGACTGTGGGGAGGGAGGCTGTACAGGGGGGGCTACCGAAGGGGGAGGGCTAGCCTGAGACACACCAGACGGGGCTGGACCAGGGGGGGAGGCTGTACCGGGGAGCAGCGGGGGGGGGAGCGGCTGTCAGGAAGAGGGGGGGAGGAGGAACCGGGAGACCTCGACTGGGGTACCTGACGTAGTAGGGGGTGGACTCCTCGAAACGGACGTCACGGGAGTCAAAGAACCGGTGAGAGGGAGGGTGGTAAAAGGTGAAGTCAGAGGAGTCCTCAGGGAAACCAAGGAAGACACAAGGAACGGCGCGAGGCGAGAGCTTGTCCGCGGAGGTGTCGCGGACAAGAGCCAAGCACCCCCAGACACGAAACCTCGACGCGACACCAGGGGACCCTGTCCAAAGACTGGTCGGTGAAGCCTCCGGCCGAGAGACGCGTGGCCAGAGGTTCAGCTGGTGCGCGGCGTACCTGACTGCGTATGGCCACAGGAAATGGGGGGCACGGGCGTGAGTCAAGGAGGTGCGGGCAATCTCCATGACCAGGCCTATGCGACGCTCAGCAACCCCATTCTGCTGTGGGGACTCCGGAAGCGTCCAGGACTGACGAATGCCCTGTTCGCGACAGAATCCAGCGAGAATGCCGGAGCGAAACTCGCCCCCGCGGTCGGAGTGGAGACAGCTGACACGACGACCACGAGTGTCCTGGGTGGTAAGCAACCACCTGATCAGCGTAGAAGTCACCTCAGACTTCCTCGCCAGGGGGAACACTGTGGTGTAGCGGGGAGTCGGAGTAGTCGTCAACGACCACCAAAAAGAAACGCTCACGCTCAGGGCCAGGGCGAGGAGAGGGGCCCCAGACGTCCAAGTGCAGCGTCTCAAAAGGCTCGGTGGCCGGACGAAGGGAGGAGGAGTGAGGGGTGGCACGCAGCCTACCCTCGACGCAAGGACCGCACGGTGGTGCAAGAGACGGCGGCAGCGACGGCAAGACACGCGGGAGACCTAAGACCAGACGCTGACTAGACATAGCACGCAGACGTGGAAGAGAAGGGTGTCCCATCCGGTGGTGCCACAGAACGGTGGGGTGGGCAAGCGACCGACAGGAGCAAGACGCAGCGACTGGACTGGACGCGACAACCTGAGGGGACGGAACCACCTGGTGAGACGCAGGGAGGAGACTAGGGGGAGGGACAGGAACTGGGAGGAGTGGCTGCTGCGACGGCGGCCGCTGTGGCTGCGGCTGCGGCTGCTGCTGCTGCTGCTGCTGCTGCCCTTGCTGCTGCTGCTGCTGCTGCGGCTGCTGCTGCTGCTGCAGTCGCTGCTGAGCGCGCGGGCCAGTGTGAAGAGTGTAGAGACCGGAGCCCGGCTCAGCAGCAAAAGTGGCGAGGGGCTGGTAAGAGTCCCCGTCAACACACACCGCAGTCTCTCCAGAAGGCTCAAACCACACACCCACGTGCTGACTCACGAGGGGTCGCACGCCCACCAAGTTCCGGGAGAACGAGGGGACGTGAAACCCAGTGAGAGACCCAGAAGGAGCAGCCGGACACGGCAAGGTGGTAGTGTGACGCGCAGTGACTGGTCCCGAAGTGGGATCAGCCAGCGCCACAGAAACAGGCGCAGGAAGAGGCGTAAGTGTCGTGCTGTCACGAAAGAAGCAGTGAGAGGCTCCAGAGTCCAGCGTGAACGACAGCGAACCGTCCTCTGAGGTAGCCGCTGGACTAGAGTCTACACAAGAACCTACACTAGCAACAGGCAACTGAGCAAGGCTAGCACCTAAGCTAACAACACCAGAGTAAGCAG